CGACGATGGATCTGTTCAGATCAGACTTCAAAGTTCAGAGGTTGGCGGCGTTACGGGTACACGTTGTGAGTGAGGCTGAAGTCAGTCACTTCCTGTCTCTTGTCGATCTTCAATAGTGTCACATTGAGTTACCATCTACTGGTCCATCTCTCGCCAACCCAAGACCTCAACGACTTCACCGCCAATCCCAGCCACATCAATACATCGGTCTACCAGACAGTATCGAAGCCGCAACGCCAATCTTCCCTGCACAGACTGAAAGGGACTACTCGATCTCCTGATGTCATCCGGTATCAACGCTCAAATTAGAAGCTCCTCACCTCTCGGCCTTGACGCACTCAATCACAGCAAGGTGCCGCCACGGTCCCTGGCCCTTGGACACGCTCTTGATCGCGAGGCCAGCCCTCCCGAGAATGTCAGTCCAGCATTCAAGCGACCGCTGCTTGCCGCCAAAGGTGAGCATCATGAAGTCGAGCATCGTGGAGGTGTAGTGCGGCGGGTTCCCCATCACGTCCTCCTGGATCAGGAGCCGGCTGTCCTCCGCCATGGCCTCGGCGATGATGCGGAGCATATTGACGCCCAGCTCGTCGCCGTAGTTGTGTAGACACCGGCGGATCCAGTACGTCAGGGCACCTTGAAGTCATGACACGGTCAGCTGTCCGTCTCTTAAACCCTTTGCAATCTAGAGAAGGTGTCTGTATCACCAAGTGGTGATCCAGCATATCTCGACAGAGGACATTGTTCTCTCACCTTTAACAGGCTGCTCCTTGTGGAAATCGATAACCTGCTTCTGCACCAACCTCATATCCTCATCATCAAGCTTCCTCACAGCCTCAACCACCTCAGCACGATCCTGCAACACGCACCTCTCCAACGGAAGCCCGGGGTTCTCGCGATGAATAGCCTTGATAGACTGGCCCCGACCCGCGCCGACATCGACAAACAGCGGCCGGTCACTGTTCTCACGAGCGTACTCGACAACCCACCCAAAGTCGTAGATGCCCGAGATGGGCATCTTCTCCTCAATCGGCCCCATGGCGCGCAGGAACCGCTGCATCCGCGGCGGGTCGTGCTGCAGCATCTCGTACCAGCCGTACTCTGGCACGCCGTACGCGTACGTGCCGGGGACGTTGTCGAGTGTCTGCGGTTCTTTGCGGCCGTACTTTTCAAAGTAGGCTGGCATGTGGACGTACGGTACTAGGCCATTTTCCCATCTGTGCTAGGGTGTTAGTGAGGGATCTCGACAGTACTGGGCAGGGAGAGAACAGACGCCATGCCGACGATTTGGCCCGCTGGGTGACCGTCGATGTAGATGCGAGAGCGCTTGGTATGCGCGACGGAGTCGTCGCCTACTTGTTGCAGAATTCCCATCGATGTGAGAACACCACCAGTTCGTCCTACCAAGTGTCAGCGAAAATTCCCAGTAGCTTGGGTTGGCCGTGGGTAGTGCAATTTTAACTCACGTATCAGAGATACATCGGCGTCGACCTTCTTGGCCAGTTCACCGTATGAGATACTGCCTTCGGTCGGTATGTGATCATAGACCTTCCATTCCCAAAAGAGCCGGTTCGCACCCAGCTGCGCGACCTGCGCCGTGGCATCAAACCACTCGTCGCCGGGATCCTTGACGGCGTTGATGAGCTTATTCGCCGCATCAATGATGCGCCGCCGTTGGCCCTTGTCCAAGTCACCTCCGGGCGGCCCGGGACTCGTCACGAAGCTCTGGAGGGCCGCGTTGACTTCTTCCGTCGCTGCCGCGGCCTCCTCCCGGATCTGAGCGCCAATGTCACCGGTCATTTTCGGTGTGGGACCCCCGAAGCAAACAGAGTTCTACCGGGTCGCTGAGCGGCGCAGAAATGTACGGCCTTGGTTACACGAGGAATGCGAGTTGCGTTCCTCTGTTCGAATGGGGGCTATGTGGAGATTCCGCTGCAGGTTTGCAGATCAACGGTCTGCTTTGCATGGGACAGCGTGGACAGGACCTTTGACTACGCCGCACGGGAAAACCGGGCACACGGGATTTGACAGGCGTCGTCGCGTTGGAGAACGTTGTGCGGAATGTGGGTGAGATGGGATGATGAACTCTGCTTGCTGCACTATTTTCGAGCGCACGCAAAGGTTCGGCAACGGAGGTTGTGATCGGGAGAGAGGGGAGCAACGACTTGGGGAACTGGAGAGGTAAAAGCGCAAAAAGAGGACTTCTGATCTCCGCATCGCTTCCGATGTGCCTCAAGTTCCCTGAACTTCTCCTCACCCGATGCGGTGATGCCACGTCCAGGGGGTGGACGGTAACTGGATGCGGCAGCTCGGTGTGGTGTGTCAACCAACGTCGGTGAAAACGTGCCGCGCTCGTCTAGTCTTGCATGTTTCCGCATGGGTTGGGGATACATTCCTCGAAGGATCGGAGGGGATTCTACCGGCTAGCCAATGGCGAAAAAGCAACTACTGTCGAGCTAAAGCAGCACAACCACCAAGAGAGCAAAAAAGAGGAGAGGCCTGCTGCCGACGTGGACTGACAGTCCGGCGGTTGGAAGGGGGACTCGACTTGTAGAGAGAGGGGGAAGAAGAAGAGAAAGAAGAACGTGTGCTTGAAAGAAACCGGCCAAACAAGACGGACAAGCAGAGACATCTCGGAGCGCCACCGCATGACGGCAGAGCGTCCGGTCCTCTCACAGACACGGTTTACCGTGTCCGGCTATTCTGCTCGTGGCCCACGCTCCGGGGATAGTCTGAGAAAAGGAATCCGTCCCAGTGCTAGCATTTCTAGACCGTGGCGCCGGTCTCCTACCAAAACCGGCTAAAGTTGTTCAAGACGGAGCTTGATAGGTCTGTTGAGCGAAAAGGATGGCGCAGGGGCATCGAGGTTGTCTGAGCCGACATGCCACTTTGGAACCCGCACACACACACAAACCAGGCGTTTCCTTTTGGTCGAGATGCTGCTGTTGATGCCGCTAATGTGCCGCTGACGGACAGCAACAAAAGACAAAAGGTCCGTAACCGTAGGAGAGGACAATAAGGAAAAAGAAAGAAGCGAATCCCGAAACTCCGGTTTCAACGGCTTTCGTTGGGTAGTTTTTCTGTCTTCCACTTTCTTCTTCCCCTTGGTCAGACTATCAATTTCGCCCATCCTAGACTGGCTCAGTCCACGCTTACCTAGAGTCTCCTTTTCCCTTTCTCGTACGATACACGGCGCCGCGCCCAAGAAACCGTTTAAGGTTTCTGACAGGAGAGACTTGTGTTCCTGAACCTGGTCAAAGACCCCAGCGCCCCCCCTCTCCGTCGCATTCTCACGTTTGCCAATCTCCAATTCAACTCGACGACCACGACAATTTGGAGGACGCATCCGGGCCAGACATACGAGCCCTCACCTGAGAACACCCCGACGACGTCGCACGGAGACAGCGGCATCAACCGCTCGCCTTGGTGATAGCGTCGAGCAGGAACCGCGGGAAGGGAAAAGGGGAACAACAGGCCGCTGAAACCTTTCTTCCACTCAGTTCTGGTTTGAGCCAGCATCGCACAACCATGACGGACGCCATAGCAGGAGGAGAAGCGGGCCACCCCGAGATGTCACCGTCGCCCCCGCCCCAGCCGCGACACCGCTCACGATCAGGATCGGGAGGACGGCAGACACCGCAGGATTTTGAGGCCGAGAACGTTGTCGAGGCCGACACGGATGACGGCGCGTCGTCGCGGGCGGGGGATGAGGTCTGGGATGAGGGGTTCGACGGCAGCAGCATCGGCAACCACTCGGCCTCGACGTCGCTGTCCAACAGCGTGCGCGACTACGTCTTTGAGAACACGCGGCGGTATCACAAGTACATGGAAGGCCGGTATTTGATGCCCAATGACGAGCCGGAGCAGGAGCGCGAGGATATGAAGCATGCTATGTGCGTGAATGTCATGGATGGGAGGCTTCATTGCGCGCCGTTGGAGAACCCGCAAAAGATTATCGATATTGGTACGGGGACGGGAATTTGGGCTATTGATAGTGAGTTTCCTCTTCGCATGAACGCCTGCTTTTTGTCTGCACTCACAGGACTGTCTCCATGAAATAAAGGCACGACGTCATGAAGACAGCTGGAGTGGACAATCTCCTACTATCTGTACTCTTCGTGGCACGACCACAATCAGCGACTGCATAACCTCGAGCAATTACTAACAATACCTCAAGTGGGCGACGAGTACCCAGAAGCAGATATATCCGGCATCGACCTGAGCCCAATCCAACCAACCTGGGTACCCCCCAACGTCCGCTTCGTCGTCGACGACGCAGAGGCAGACTGGGTCTGGCCGCCATCCTCCCTCGACTTCGTACACGCGCGGCACATGTGCATGGCCGTCAAGAACTGGCCGCACCTGCTCTCCCAAGCCTTCACCGCGCTTAAGCCGGGCGGCTGGATCGAGCTGCAGGAGCTGCGCTTCGTCCTGCAGTGCGACGACGGGACGATGCCCGGCACCGAGGAGTACGGCTATGGCAAGTTTGTGGACCTCTGCATGTCCGGGTTCCGGAGCTTCGGCATCAACCCGCTGGCGATGGAGAGGAACTCGGAGATGCTTCGCGAGAGCGGTTTCGAGAATGTTGTGGAAAAGGTGTGGAAGGTGCCCATTGGGACGTGGCCAAGAGACCAGAAACTCAAGACGATTGGGCTATATAACCGCAGTATGCTCATCGATGCGCTGCAGGCTGTGAGTATGGCGCCGTTGACGAGGGGGCTCAAGTGGAGTGCTTCTGAGGTGGAAGTGTTTTTGATTGACGTGCGGAAGAGTCTGATGAATGTGTCAATACACTCGTATCTGACGTTTCATGTCGTGTATGGGCAGAAGCCTTATGATAGCTAGAATTGGGAGGCATTTGGCGTTTAACGGGATAGGAGTTGGCAGTGGTGGCATCAAAGTTATATGGAGTTGGGAGGAGAATATTCCAGCAATCAACTTGGTACTCATTCAAATTCATTAAGGCGAAGACAATATCAAGCGTCTCAGACTTCCATGTGAAAGCCTCAGTTCCCCGACCCGCGGCTTCAACTATCAAGCAGACCATCTTGCGTCAAACCTCGAGAGCCGTGGGCTAAGATTACCAAATGTAGCACTCAACTATGTAAGTCAGTGCATAAGTATTGTTACCATGACTTGTAAATCCCCCTTGATCTACACACTGATCATAACATCGGCGACGACAGGCCTGTGGTCAGATATATACACGCCATCGTCAAAATGATTCGGCAGAACCGCATGAGTCAAAAAGTCCATCCCTCTGACCGTCGGATCGCGCACAAACAAGTGGTCAAGAAACGTATCGTCCGAGAGATCGTCCGTGAAAGCAGTATACGTCTTCGAATACCCCAGCCTCCTAGACTCAGAAACCACATCCTGAATATCATACAAGTTCCCGTCCGCAATCAGGATCCGATAAGCCGCGTTATCCGGCTCAATATTCAAGTCGCCGCCCAGAAATACCGGCACAGCCCCCTCTGTCGAGTTCTCCCACTCTTTCGCCAAGCTGACCAACAGCTCTGCACTATGCTCTCTTGCAACTTGGCCCACATGATCAAAGTGCGTACACATATACACCAGCGGCAGTCCACTCTCAACATGCCGGAAAGACGCGACGGTGACGATGCGCGGTAGCGCAGCGTCCCAGCCCGTGGACCCGGGAACATCGGGCGTCTCGCTCAACCAGTACGTTCGGTTATCCACGAGGCTCCAGGTGCCCGGCTGGTAGTAGATCGGCGAGAACTCCCCGGCAGCGACGCCATCGTCACGGCCGACACCGACGTGGCCCCAGGCTGGTCCGAGGTCTTGAGCGATGTCGAGGAGTTGTTCTTCGACTACTTCCTGCATGCAGACCAGGGACTCGGGCCGGGCTGCGGTTTCGTAGTTGAGCTGGGAGAAGAGATGAGGTCGGCGGGTGGCCCAGGGTGCCTCGTTGGTTCCTGGGTCGGGAGTGGCCCAGCGAATGTTGAAGGTTATGAGGCGGAGAGCGAGGTCAGATGATTGGCAACCGACAAAGCTCGCTCCGAACAACAACGTCGCTGCTAGGTAGAGCTTCATGACTGCTTGGAAACAACGAGGCCTTAGACTTGTCATAGGTATGATACAGCAATGCAGGATGAAAGGAATAAGAGCAGCATTTCATATCTAGAGTCTTTGGTCTGAAGACTTCCGAAACTTCTACTCTTCGAAACACATATTGAGGACGACCGAGTGAGGGGAAACACGGCGAGAATCCTGATGACACACGCACAGCTGCATGCCGTCGTCACATCATTACTTCAACAAGTCTATCTCTTGACCTTCCGTTTCAGGACGCCATTGGGCCGGTAATGTTTACCCACGCTTCTCTGATCATCGGCGGGCTCCGGGTTCACGTGGGGTCCAGATGCCCGCTCATTCGCCGAGAAAGTGGAGATCATCCGGCCAAGATGGGGTTCGAAGCCGGGTCGGATGCCTTCGCGATATGATGGGAATACGGCATCGGGGCTTCTTCCTCCCGGGGTCCGGGTCCTGCCTATCTCTTTACGGATGGACTTATCAACCATCACTAGAAAAGGGCCTTGAGCATCACCCTCAAGTGAGTCGTTCGAAAAGCCTCGCGCCATCATCCCGTCTTAGGTTCTCCACTGCCAGAGAGAAAGCTTACCCGGTTGAGGCATAGATCTTTGCGCTTGTCTATCAGGCACTGAGCCTCGAACTTGTCTATTCAAGGTTCATGGGGATTGTGAAAATGGATATCTCGCTCGTCAGCCAAGACACTCGATCCCAGTCTTGCGCCTCAGCAAATTGCCAGAGCTCCTGAATTTCGACCAGCACCGAAACTCTCTTTCTGCCAAGATTTCCACGAGGCGGTATTTTCCAAGGGTTCAAGGACAGTTTCAATGATCACTCAACTCTATTAGATCCTGTCCACGAGCTGCGGGCTGGAAATGAAAATTTGCCCAAATAGCAGTTCCCCTGTCCTCGAGCTTCACCGTTGCACTGCTTCCTACCATAGTGCACATATGTCTCTTAAAGGTGGTAGGGAGAATCGACACAGGTTCATAGCCACGAGCAACTTCTTTCCTTGGCTCGGCTATCGGATCTGCACTGTCTCGCACTGACATAAAAGCCCGATATTCCACTTTGTGCGCAACTCCATCCTCTTCCCAGAATCGCCCCCTTCTTGGGTCAATACGAGCCACGAGGTTTCTCCTCCTCGGCCACCCACATTCCCGATCGATGATTGGGGGCTGGGTGTCACTGGTGTTCCTTCGTTGGCAGCGGGTTCCATCCAAATTTATTTATGCATTGATGCTGAAGAGGCCAAAGCGCGTCTTCAGGGGCAATGCACTTGCAGGGACAGGGTTCAAACACGTGTGTTGACAGCAATTTGTAAACGATGCCTTTGGGATCTTTTCTGCCCATCTGCTGGTGCTCTTTGTCATCCATGTGGAGTTTGTGCTGTCAAAGAAAGCGGAACAAGGACTGGAAGGCTAAAACGTAAAGGATCTTGGGTCATCATTGGCTAGTGGAAGGATTTCTGCTTCAGTTATTTTGGCCACTGCCTTGGTTTTTGATTAATTTCCGTGAGAAAACGCGCAACTCGGGCTGGAGTAAGGTTACATCCCAAGTGGATATTCTACAGGATTTTATACATTAGTCTGAAAACTAGTTGCTCGACACTTCAACATCCAACCGGGTATTCACATCCCTCCTTCAGCGACGAGACGACTCCAGTGGCCCAGGCCGACCTCCTGAATCTCTCATGTCGTGGGACATTTCAATGTCGACCTGGTACGTGTACTGAGCGTGAATACCGCCCTTCTGGTCGCTCGGAAGCAGGTCCCCCTTATCCGAGTCGCCGTCTTGGAGACGCTCCCAGGTCTCGTCCCCTCTGCCGTGGACCGTCGCCAGGCTGAAGCCCACGTCGGTCGGGTTGCGGAATCGATCGCGGCTCCTGGGCTCGAGCGGCTTGCTTCCGCTGGTGAAGAGACCCGTTTTGGTCCCGCTCCCGCTCGGGTTCGTCTTTTCCGACTCGCCGCGGGTTCGCGCGATGAAACGGCGTAGCGAGGGCACCGATGAGGCGATGCAGCCGATTCCGGTCTCGATGTTGGAGCAGAGCACCGTGTGGGCGACCCAGACTAAAGAAAACCCCCCTTGTCAGTTTCCATGACGCAATGGATTTGGTTGTGCGAACTAGGTACTCACATTGAAGGTCTGTTTGGGCCTTGAATCTGTTGACATAGGGGATGCGGACCATGGTGATGATGGATGCACTGAAGTTGCGTTAGCTTTAATACCATGGGTTACTTTCCTCAAAGGTTCAAAACTTACACGGAGGCAAAGGACAGCAGACCAAAGACCTGGAGCTTCGTCTGCGTCTTCATTTGCGTGCCCCAGAGGATGATGGCAGGCACCACGACCAAAGCCAGATCCGTCACAATAGCCGAACTTGTCGCAACGTGACCAAGGGCGATGAAGACATCGACAGAGCCGCACTTTCCTTCGCCGCTAAGAATCATTGTAGGCGTCCACATGGCCTCAACCGGCTGACAGTACAGCAGAGTTCCGACAAACGTAATCATGAAAGAAGCCCACGTGACGCCAAGCAGGACCCAAACTGTGATGCGCAGACCGTTGTTCGTCGTGATGATTCGTTGGATGGTGAGGCAGACGGATGATTTGACGAGGGCGAGGGCGACAACGTACACCAAGATCCAGATGATGTAGATCTTGAGAGCCTCTGAGAACATCCACATGTTCAGCTTTTCCTGCAATGTGCCCAACCCAACGAGGCAGCCATATATCGTCAATCCCACACTTGGTACGTAAACCACCTTTTGGGGCAGGTTAGCGAGCTACTCGTCTCTTGAAAATAACAAGAGTGACATACCGTTCCCGCAAGCATCAGTCCATCGTCTAGGCCGAATGTGCCCTCAACGAGACGCACGCTCGTTCGTACTCCAACACATATCACCGATATGACGAGGAAGATGGATGATATGATGATGATGGCCAGCGGCAGGTGCTCCGGCTCGAGGATTCGCAAATCGGGGTCGACGTTCGTTGACAAGGACATGTTGGCGGCACGTGATTTTCGATCAAAGTCCTTTCGTTAAAAATGGCAACCACCCTCACGCCACGAGTTTCCGAGTGTGGTGTTGACAAAAGTAGGCACTACCCAAGTTATAAACCTCCGGGTAGAACCTCTTCGGGGCTTCAAGTGCCGCAGCCGCAGCCCGCAGATCTATACTACTAATGCAGGGGAGCAGGATGGGCCGCTTGGGAGCTAAAGTCAGTCCGCACGTAGGAGGCGGCGTAGCAGTTGGTTATTGGGTCCTGGACTGCTCCAAAAGATCACAACCGGGGATCGTGTTCCATGGATGCAACCCCAGATATTAGGATTTGGGGGGGCTACTTTGACACTTTGACACTTCGAGAACTGTCATAGTGCTCATAGACTTGCCACTGGTCGAGAAAACCTGATGCAACCAACAGGGACCGCCTTCCATCGAGGAAGGGCCACAGGGGGCCATGGACTCCCCCCATGGCCCATCCCATGGCAACCGGATGGTCTGGAAAAGGAAAAAGGTCAAGAGCAGTTCTCGAACTGGGTCTTATTTGCCCACTTTCCCGTCACCAATGAAGGAACCGGTCTTCATGCCGAGAGGCCCGGGTTGGTTGGAATTGGGGGCCGCTAGCAAAGGCGGCACAATGCTCAGGGGTCCGTTGCGAGAGGATGAGCATCCACCGTCGAAGGACTCCACAGCACTAGGCAAAAGACATCGCGAACGTCCGAAGAAGCGTGGAAAAAGTTGCATGGAAGACGGATTTGAGTCTTGAAAGCCATCCAATGACGGGATCTGACAAGTCGCATGGCAGACTAACGCTAGCAGGAGGGTGCAATCCTCTGCCACGATCGCTTTTGGGGGTTGAAACATGTCGATCACCACGAGGTCGACCGTCGAGGGGGGGGGGGGGGGGGGGGGGGGCCACAATTGGGATCATCGCCGTCTATTCTATGGTTGAATTTGTGGGAGCCGTTGTTGGATGGTCGTCTCGTACGAGAATAAGACGAGCCGCTCTACCGCTTTCGGGTTCCAAGATGTGACATGCCCAATTCTGATCTGACCGGTCACCGCCCCCCCCAGTTGTGAAAAGCTCGAAGAAAGAGACAACCAACCCGAGCCGTCCCGAATTGGGTTATTCATTCGACCTGGGGGCCTATCCGCTGGAATCTAGCGAGACGAAGGCATCCACTCTGGCATGCATGTTTTTGGAATAGTTGAGATTAAGAAATAAACTAGGCCGGCCGGGAGCGCGGCACTTGTGATAGATAATCAAGTCTACGAAATAAGCATGGGAAACAATCTAAGGCTGTTAGACTATCGTCACCCGCACACCTTGAGACCCCGACTTAGTCACGGGAACGAACATGTCGTGATCATAAAGAACGTCCTCCTCCGTCGTCTCATGAAGACGCATCTTGGGCAGGACACGCAGAGCAAGCGCTGTCAAGCACAAGTTGAGCTCACACAAAGCCAGGCTATTCAAACAAAAGTCAGGATTCGGCGGTTCTCATCAATAATTAGGGTGGATATAACTTACTTCATGCCCAAACAAGATCTGCTGCCCTTGGAAAAGGCAAGCATACCCTTTTCAACATCCTTGCGACGTTGGTTGTTCTCATCCAGCCAGCGCTCGGGAATAAACTGGTACGAGTCGGGAAACACAGTCTCGTCATGATGCGTGATAACAGCAGACATGCCAACGGCGTACCCAGCAGGGATGACATACTCGACAGGCTTCTTGTTGAACTCGCCGCGGTAGACCAGGTTCTCCTCAGTAGCCACCCGCGCAGTACGCGCAGAGACGCCATACGAAAGACGCAGACCCTCCTGGAGAACAGCACCCAAGTAGGGAAGGTTCTCGAGACTCGTCCAGCCGGGGAGGTGCTTGGGGTCGTCGACGACGGCAATCAGCTCGTCCTGGAGCTTCTTGAGCAGATGGGGCTTGGTGAGCAGGTGGTACGTGATGACGCCCAGGGCCCAGCTGGTGGTCTCGGTACCCGCGCCGACAACGGCGGCCGCCTCGTCGGCTAATCGCTGTGGGTTCTTTTCGAGCAGCTCCAGGTCTGACTCCAGGAGGGACCCGAAGACTGTGGGGCGTTCGTGCCGGATGCCGGCGTCGAGCTCGGCCTTGGTGTGCTTCACCTTGTTGGGGATATCAATTTTGAGCGTGCGGATGAGCAGAGCGATGTCGGCAGGCAAGTAGTTTACGAGCCTTTCAAGAGTCAGTATCGTTCATCGGTGTGTCGAGATCGGAGATGTGCTCCTTGAGAAAACATACCACTCTCCAAGAACGGCAAAGGACTTGGTCCACGGGAAGAAACGGAAGACAAAGACAGGTCTCAAGATGGAGGCAGTCGGCTCCCGGAAGTTGGGATACCAGCTATCTTGCCTGAGGAAGCCGAAGCTCTCCCCGAAGCAGTATCCAGAAATAGCGTCAGACGTGAAGCAGCTGTAAGCCATCGTCACATCGAAAGCCTCCCGCTGAGCAAGCAACTTGTCGCAAAGCACCTGGACCAAGTCATGGACGTCGCTTTCGAGACGCCCAATCATGCCGCGAGAGAAAAACTTGGCCAGTGGAATGCGACGAGTGCGGTGTACATCATGGTTTACGGTTCCGAAGCCAGACTCGCCCAAGCTGGAAAACACATTATTTGGTAAGCATGACTGATATCCTTCTCATATTAATGAGGGTACTTACGCAGAGCCGTTGATCTGGTGGACGGGCTTGTCGCGCTTGCGACCGCTGACGGCGTAGATGTCATCTGAAAAGTTGACGTCGTTGCAGTGTACTTCGTGGGGGCTGATGCGGACTATGGGGCCTTTGTGACAATGTTAGATTTTGTCTTGTGTTTTTCTGACTAGTGCAGCTAGACTTACCATACTGCTCGTGCATGCGGATAATCTCCCTGGTGTAGCGACCGAAAAGGATGACATCGTAGTAGAATTCGGGGATGTACGTGGCTGCGGACAGTTTAGGTCCGGGAATGTGGCTCAACGGATGCAAAGGCGAGATGTTGTAGAGCGCCTTTGCGACCTGGTACAGCAACCAGAGGCCGGCGAGGCCGAGCACAGTACGTGCCGACAAGTACGACGAGGAAACGTCGAGGGGTGACGACGTAGTCTCGAGGGTTGACATTGTGTTCTTCCTGACTCGCCGGTAAGAGGAACGTGGAAGGTTGAGAAGGAAGGTTTGGAATCACGAACTCCGGAGAGTAAAGAAAAAGGACATTGTTCTTCGTCTCTTCTCTCACTCCTCCAAGACTTGCGCCACGACAGAATGTGTGGAGAGTCCGGGGTGGGATGAAGATAGTCATAGGGGCGGTCCACACGTTTTGCATTTGACCTACACCCGAAAAAGCCAGAGCACCGAGGTTTACAACGTTGGAGACATGGGTGGGTGGCATGAGCGATCAACGGGACGCGCAGGCAGAAAACCCCGAAGGACGGCAGATGTCTCTACGAATAGTTGTCGGTGTATCCGTTGGTACATACGTGAAAGAGTTGGGGAGTTTGGCTCAGAAACCGAACATGGCGTTCAGGTATGAACCGAACGGATGGTCTGACATTCGCACGGCAATAACCCATTGTCTGTTCGCGCTGCAACTACACAGAATCCCTGAATTAGGGTGCAACGGCTTTTTTCGGTGGCTCAAACTTGAGCCAAAGTTGCCTAACTCGGAGGTGTCAAGCGGCCCGCTGAGGGGTGGGAAGAGCTGGCCTAGATGGAGATTTTCTCTTTGGGGCCCGGGCAGTTGGTTGGCTGAAGAATGAAGATCCCTGAAGATTGTGATCCATGGGAAACCCTCCTTTTCAATCCCCTTGTTCAGGATGTGGGACCCCGGGCTCCTTTCGGCCAGATAGAAATCACTAATTACGTTGCAGCCAGCTTCATTCGGCACACGTGTGAAAGGGCGCGGGGAGTCCGGTGCGGTGCCCGCTCAACCTCTGGAAAGGGAATGGAAATCATTAGTGATGGAACCTCTGGGCAGACCGGAGGTTCGGACAACGCACCGACTGAGTTGGGCCGAGAGTGTGCTTGATCGGCCTGCGGGGTCGGGTACCCGCTCCGGATGACGCCGCATCCCACACCGGCAGCCGTTCCGGTACCACTCAACACCGTGCTTACCTCTCCGGCGGCATTGTAGAACAGCCCATATTGCGGTGCGTCGCCGATTTGCGCTCCCTCCGTACAACCGTTCCGTCCTAGGTCACTTGGGGGGTTGCGCACAGTATCTCAGCCCCATACGGGAATCATGATGTTCCGAGGCGACTTAGCAAGACGGAAAGTCGTCTGAAGGTGGACTTGAAATTTGTGTCCACTTAGGTACCTAGTATGAAGTGTCTTCTGGTCGAATGAAGATGTCCAATTCGTATATAAGCCTCTAGCTACCCTGATCTCAATTCAACACAACGTGCAACTGCCTTAGCGAATGCTTCGCTCCGCAAACCTCGATAGGGGTTCCATGCATCAAACTCATGTTGACGAGAATGATTGAAATACGTTCGCGACTTTAACAGAACTTGGTGTCGCCAGGAGGAGCACACTTGCAAGCCGGGCCATCAGCTGCCTCCCATGGAACGCAGCACTGTAAACTCCATGATTAGCACCACTCCACAGTATTTTACATGTTTTCGCAGTGGACGTACCCAGCTGCCGGCGCATTCGCCAGCGCCACCGCAGTTGGCCTTGAAGCAGTTGATTTGCCTATCGAAGATGGCGGAGGCTGCCTCACCGACCGGGTTCGCCAGGGCGAGGGGGGCCGAAACGAGGAGGATGAGGTTTGCAAGAGTGATGGGCTGCATATTGGGCGATGTGTTGTCTGAAGACGAAACTGTGGAGTAAGTTATGGTTGATGGTGATGTGATGGCAAGCAAGAGCGAAAGGATAGTCATGAAAGGTATGACTGATGTTCTTATACTCATGTGAGATAGTACGATCGCCTCTGTTGACTCAGGATGCGAGATAAAGATGCAAGGGTAGTGTACTGTGGCAGTGCCATGTGACCGTGATAGATACAATGGTGCATCTTGGCTTTCGTTACCTTAATGTGAGAACAAGGTATCTCAACTCAACACCAGCCTTGAGATTCTATGAGCCCCATTATTCCATTCTAAGAAGCTTTTCGGGCCACCGAGAAGTCTGCATACATAAGACGGGCACGGATAAGGCGGATTGCAAGTTATGAGCATAGGAATCTGACTAGAGCTTGGGGGCAAGGGGCTAGCAACTCAAAATCCCCAGGGCTTGTCACATCCACCAGATAGGGAGTGCTTTAAATACATCTGATGGCAACCTAATAACACTGTACAGCTAAGGCTAAGCAATGTTATAGGCCAAATAGGCTTCCGTGGGGTACTGTCACTTCGTGCTATGGGTCGTTCGGTAAAGGGAAAGGTGACACGCAGTGGCACTACAGTCTAAAGCTTAGCTATTTGGACAACTCATCTTGCTTGACCAGCATCAACTTCACTCTCATGCTAAAGCTATCTGAACACTTCGGGGCTTCTCATGTATGAAACTCCCTGTGGCATTTACTAAGAACCTTGTGAGGCTCATGGCCTTCAGACTTCAACATGGTATTATGTCCCATAATAGCCCTAGTGAGCATGTCCCTGTAAAGGACTTTTTGCGCTGTCAACCTCGGCGCGGCCTCGTATGTGGTTTTGTACTACTCGCGAGGGAGTCTGAGTTAGATTGAAGGGACTGAGATTGCCTGTCGAAGATTCAGACAATGAAGGGCCATGGTTTTGTGCGCAGAGAAAGCTATGACTCGTGATGTTTCCATCACTAAATAAACTTCTCAATCTCCGCCCTAGCGGCGCAGTCCTCGCCCCTTATCGGTTAGTTTTACCGCAGAACAGAGCACAGATCCCATATCAAGAGCACTTGTCGGACTACGCGGATTTAAGGGAGATATTTGCCAAGGTGTTATTCTCCAAATTCCACAGATTCTTCCTGAGCAGGACTTGAACCCTGCTTTCGGTCTTCACTTGAAAACATCCTTTTTTTTAACAGCCATCCTCCATCATCGATTCACCGGCCATCTGTGTTCGCCTGTCAACCGGCTTGAACAATCACCTTCATCCTACCGTCATTTGACTCATCTCATCAGAAATATAGCCGGCTCTTGACAACTGTAATCTCTCTTTACCGGCACCGACTGTCACTTATTGGAACCACTCGCTTGTCAAGGTCGCTCTCAACCTATGTTGCCAACTTTCTCGAGTTAAGCAGACGTTGAACTCGCAAGGCTCATAAAGATAGGCATGCATTCGTCTTCTCGAAGATTAGCGATCACATTTTCGGAAGGCGGATCTTCAGTCCGTGAATTGGTCTACACAAAATGGGCCGGTACATCAGCTCATAATGGACTACTCTAGCAGGACTGGATCTCGAGGTGTCTCACTAACAAAAGGCAAGAGAGGGACCGACATGATACCGCATGATACCGATAGAGATTAGTTTCGGTGATACAGCGAGAATGCTGCTACGACATGTGTTTTTAGCAGTAGCATTGCATCGAGCTAGTCTTCGTTGGTGATCCAGCAACTTGACAACGGGGATCAGGAGCGAGTGCCTGCGAGCTATCTCGTCCTACACACAGCAATGTTGCACTGCGGAACCTGTCATTGATCGACAAACGATAATGATACCGCGCTCTCATTGCCAGGGCCGGGGATATCCGGTCGATTGCGGAAAATGGTGAAGCAGACCTCTGCGATATCTTTAGCCATAGCTGGGCTCGCCGCATCGATTTCCGCTCCGCTGTGTCCCATCCTCACAAGCTTGGCCTTCGCCGACACCATATTGGCGATGATGAAAGCCTTTCCCACAAAGTCTTGCGTTGCCAGCCTTCTCTCGGCAATGACGGCGTAGCGGTCGATGATATCTATGATCCGATCTCTGAGCTCGGCGATCAACGTCCAGGGCTTGTTGTCGTTGATGGACGCTTCCACCTGATAACAGAGAAATAGCACGGATTGAAGAGCCACGGTTCGAAACAAGGACCCGGACGTTCTCATCATGTTCACTAGTCCGCCCATATCATGGGCTTTCGCCAATTTTTTGGGAGGATCAATGGTCTCGAGGATTGAGATGGCGGTGCTGACGCACAAGGTGTACGAGAAAGCCAGTGATGAGCTCCTCTGAACCCCGAACGGTAAATGAAGAGCAAGTAGTGACCTCTGGCAGAGAATAGATGAGAAACACAACGCAAAGTTTCCATGATCAGGAGAACTATTTGCTAGCAGCGGACGCGCTACAGCTTCCAATGTCTCCTGCAGTCTGGAAGCCTCTTCATATTTCGTGGAGCATCTGATGTCGTTGAGGAAGTTGGCGATGCGCATCCGCGTCCTCAAAGTCGATATCAAGTAGCCCACCGGTGACGAGGCGTCCAGGTGAGCTCCCTCACCAATGCCGTTCGATCTTGAAGGAGGTGCCGGTAGCGACATATCCCAGTCGTCCGGCCCTACCGTTGTCACAATTCCCTCAGTCATGGAGCTTTGCAAGTCTAACTCCAGAATTGTGTACCAGAGATTCTGCTGAGTCTCTAGCTCGCCCTTGAAGAGGCGGTCTCCTGTGATTGAGGGATCGCGATGCAGACCTGCCACCATGGCGTTGCGCGCCAGCATGCCGGATGAGGACCATGTGGCTGTCGAATCTAGGCTGTAAACCTGCCTCATGATATCGATGAGGCAACATGCTTGGAGCGTGCTGACATCGCAGGGATTAGATCGAAGGGCGACGCTCTGCCAAGCTAGAATGAGATGCCACCAACCCTCAATCTTGGTGTCCGGCAGCCGGCCGCTCGTGGTGTCAAGAGTACCGTTCCCAATTGCTATGACTAGCAAGATTTGTATGCAGATGGCAATGGGCACGCTTTCAGGCTTTTCCCAAAACCTCAAGGCTTGGTCTTGGAAGGTTGGCTTTTGTAACAGCGCAAAGACGGAGCCAAAAGTGTCGAAATACCTCTCGATTAGGAGCTCGGTTGTGCTCCTGGGTGGGAACTCTTCAAATATGGACAGTTGGGGTCCTTGGGTCTCTCCGAGAAACAGGGTCCGCCGCTGGTATAATCGAGTCTTGAGCTCGTTGAAAGTTGTGAACTCGCCGCTGGGTAAAGAGAATCCAGCCTGGCCCATCAGAGACATGATGTGTTGAAACTAGAATAAGTGTCAGTTGAGGAAAACGCTTACAATAATGTTAGTCATACCTTGGGGAATAGCCAGTGATTGCTACTACGCCCATACCAAGTTCTTCTTGAATTGAGTTTGCTCGGCTTTGCGGTCGGGACCCCGGCGTTTTCGGACAAATCCAGCACATCTGCATTCCCATCAATCAAGCCCTCTTGGGGCTCTGGAGTCGGGGAATCCCCATTATCGTCTTCCACGCTTCTATCTCGAGATTCGGTAGCTGAAGCGCTGCGGAGTGCAGCTGATGATGTGTTGTCGGATCTTGGATCTGCTGGGTCGCCGGAGCGACCCGGCGTATGCCTGGCATTGGGGCTTTGTTCCCTATCGTTGGATGCTTGCTGCTGCTGCTCATGGGTCGACCGCTTCGGTGCGGTGCCGAGGACTGGTCTGACGTACGTGCATTTAAGCGGTGGGTTATTCTTTGAGCACCGGTCGCAGGGCCGTTGCTTGTTGCATTTCAGCTTTCGGCGATGACATTCGAGGCAGACGAGCATCGGCCGCTCCCTTCGGCGCCGGCGCGTGCGTGTTTCTTCTCTCTGCTGCAGGTCGGACATATCTCAGCAGTCGAGTGATTTCCCCGGATGAAGTGGGTATCGGTGACCGGTAGCTGGCATCTGCAGTCGGCAGATGGCTGCAGATGGGAATTCGAACGTTGGGCAGTGGAAAGGAAAGACTGTTGACTGTTTAGGATCGCCGGAGATTTGAGGTTGACTGAGTTTGGTCTTCTCTTCGATCACCGACGGCATTTGCGCTGATCTCCACCCGTAACGCCGAGCACTGGACACCAAGACTTTGGATTACCTGACGCCTCGGACTTAAAGGTGGGGAAGCTCGACAAAGCCTGATACACGCAACGATCATCGAACTCAATCTATGACGGTGCAGATATAACTCCAGTACCTTGAAATGTGCATGTAGTTTAAATGGAGAATGAAGCCTAAGACTTGATTCTGCCCTTATAAGGACACTAGAAGGGCTCTGAAAGGCATCTTCGAAAGCCTAAAAGCCGGCTGTTCGCGTTCTTTGCATACCGACTCAGACACCTCTGCTGAACCATGGGGATACAGAATGACCTTCCCAATATCGTTGACTGGACCGATGAATTTGATTTCGGCAATCCTCGGAACTTCTCCCCGGTTACTAAATGGGGAACTACAGTGCACTACGGCCTCGTTACCTTCATTGTTACTTTTGCCAGTTCGATTTTCAGCACTGCAACGGAGGTGACGAGCGAGTTGTTCGGGGTCTCAAAGGATGTCATGCATTTAGCAACGGCACTAAACGTTTTGGTTAGTAAGACCGCATGCAATCTCTACAAATGGTAGCAGAAACTGACAGTTGATAGGGATTTGCATTCGGACCCCTGGTCTTTGGGCCACTCTCTGAGGTGTACGGCCGCAAGACCCCCCTGCTACTGGGACTACTTGTCTTCTGTGTTTTCAACATACCAGTTGCAGTCGCTACGAACGTCGAGACGATATTAATATGTAGATTCATCGTCGGCTTCGGAGGCGCAGCTCCTCTGGCCATCGTTGGCGGCGCACTCGTGGACCTCTTTCTTCCCATTGAGAGAGGCATCGCAGTCTGCATCTTCGCCGGCGCAACTTTCATGGGCTCCATATTCGGGCCAATTGTCGGTGGCTATGTCACTGAATCATACTTGGGTTGGCGATGGACAGCTTGGCTGACGCTGATTCCTGGTGCTGTCCTGTGGGCGATTCTCTTGCTCTTCATTCCGGAGACATACGGCCCAGTCATCCTTAAGCAAAGAGCCCAAAAGCTTCGTTTCGACACTGGCAACTGGGCGCTTCATGGAGCCATTGAAGAGCATCGACTGGAACTGGGAGATGTTGCGCAGAGGTATCTCGTCAGACCGATCGTCATGCTCTGTCGCGAGCCCATCTTGGCCCTCGTGACGGTCTATATGTCGCTCATCTACGGCATCTTGTATCTGTTCTTTGAGGCGTATCCAATCTCCTTTTCAGTCAAACGGGGCTGGAGCTTGGGCGTTGGAACTCTTCCTTTCCTAAGCCTTGGGCTCGGCATTGTCCTTGGGGGAGTAGTTGTTCTGCTGCACCTCAGACTTCGATACGCAAAGATATACGAAGCAGCTGGGAAGGTGCCACCAGAGGAGCGTCTTATTCCAATGATGTTTGGCTCAGTCGCACTACCAATAGGCATGTTTTGGTTTGCCTGGACAAGTGACCCAGACATACATTGGGTTCCGCAAGTCCTTGCAGGCATTCCCACTGGGATCGGAATCATGACCATCTTCATTCAGGGCTTGGTGTACATCATTGACACGTATGCTCAACTCTCAAATAGCGCCATTGCGGCCAACGTATTCTTGAGAAGCTGGGTTGGTGCCGGTTTTACCATGTTCGCAACCAGCATGTATAACAAATTGGGTGGGTTTCGCCTTTTGACAGTTGACATAGACGGAACAGTCGCTTACAGAGATTCTAGGCGTTTCATGGGCATCATCGCTGCTTGGCTTCATCTGCGTTTCTTTGATACCAGTCCCATTCTTGTTTCACAAGTATGGTCAAGTCATTAGGAAGAAAAGCCGATACGCACCATTTGCGGATTAAAGCATTTACAGTTCGTCCAAAGGGCAATCAAGTTGAAAACTTGAGATAAACGCGACTTAATGCAAAGAATTGTTGAGCCTCTGGAGAAATGCGACCAACGCCATGCCCTACGAACCCTTTCTATGGACTTGGTCCGAGCCCCGATTACAGAGTTACTGTAGGCCCAAAGAAACGTATAGAGAGCTAGCTCATACGTTGACTAAAGATCCATTCTCCCCTCTCTAAAGTACTATCCGTTCCCGCGCGGAAGGGCTCTGCGGCGGGTCTCCTTACTCAGGGATTTGGCAGCAGCACGTAGTAATACGACGAGTACGCTTAACCTTAAAAGTTAAACATCGGCAGGTACTGAGAGCCCTTGAGTGAATTAGTATGAACAAATCAGGCTTTCCAAATTTGTCTAGTCTGATCACTATTCCGGGCCAAAGACAGACAGCTTACTCCGCCAGACTTGGTACCTTACATATGATTACTTTACCTAAGTAAAGTACCTTTCACAGAACCTTAGTCACATGGATTAGCGTAGAAATAAAGTTCACTTCCTTTTGGCTGTCCAGATTGATATAGAGCCAGCTTGTACTATAGTCACGACTCACAAAGGGAATCATCCCATTACGACGGCCAGTCACCATTTGTCTAGTGCTCCGTCCTGATCTCGAGCAATGCCACACTCAGTCGGAAGATCAAATTGCGTATATTTGGCATAACAGTATTGAAAGCGTTTCAAAGCGTGCTGCGCATCGTGCGAGTTTTAATGCTCATGTTCCCCACCTCTGAAGAAAACACGCAAGCTGCGCTGACATGTACGACTCGGAGACACCGCAAGATTGAAGGGTGCACGTATTCATAAGTTGCGTATATATTGTCCGCTCGGACCATGTGCCTGACAGAAACACTTGCGGACTCTCTCCATCATTACGGCCATTCAAATTCTCGCAGGCATCTTCAAGCCCGAGGCCGATGGAGCAGGGATAGAATCCACCAGCCGTCGGACGGGCCCGGCTCTTAAAAGGTCCGGCGCATTCTTCGGTCTCGGGTTCGAGGCTGCGAAGCGTGGAATCCGTGGGGTTTCTGGCCCACTTACCCTGGCCATTGACCATGACATGACATTGACCACAACTATACAACAAGGGAGTCTTTATCGATTGTGTTCTATTGGGTATGGCCGTTGAAGACGCCATTCTCGTTAACTAAGTTGCAATCACAAGAGACAGTGTATACCGTATAAGAAGTCAGACTACCTTAGGTGATGCACGATCTAGACAACCCCAAAATCGGCCAACTCTACATTTTCATAATCCGTGTAATGATCGAGTCGCACGAAGCACAGCATCACAACATATGCGGGGCAGTCCGTTCCCAATTTAGCCAAGAAATCTCCGTATATTAGAGTTGTCTTGTGGGACCGTATTGTTAGCCTTCAAATATGGATGGTGTGCGTATTGTAGCCCGAGTAATTTAATGTATTTTGAGTTCCCGCCTGACTCGAGCCTCACAGCAATGGAGGATGCGATCGGACTTTCATGTATTTTCCGCAACATGCAACAGAATCCGAAGAGAGCTGGATGTAGAAATCAAACCCGGCGGTCAAGCCAGTATCTAAGAAAGTAAGTAAGTACATAAAGACTGAACGCTTCCCGTAACGAAGCAGAAGTCTTCTAAATTACTCACAACGGATATCAGCTTTCTCAACTCAATTACAAAGCCAGAAACACTTCCTAAGACTTCCAGTCAATACCTCATATCTTTCAAGATGCAGTTCTCTACCCTCTTCGTTGCCGCTGTTGCCCTTGTTCTTCCGGCCGCTGTCAGCGTAAGTCGATTTTCCTATGCTCAAACTTCCAACTCAGAGGCTGTTTTATTTACTGACACTTTACCTCAGGCTGGCTACTGCCAAGGCACTACCTGCATCGACAGCATTAAGAACTTCGAGTGCCCCAAGCAGTGCCCCAAGGATGGCACTTGCGTGCTCAACAAGGCTTGCTAAGGGGTGGGTCCTTTGTGGGAAAACAAAATCGCGAACCGTCGGCACCTCATACGAGATACCATGAGCGAGAAGAAAGCATGTTCTTGAGCATAGTCTGGCGGGTCTCAGAAAGAGTTGAACAGCCATAAACGGGACATAGTCTTCACACCAATGGTTTATCGGTCAATCAAAGGTTTCAACACTCATGATATAGCGTCATTGTCCTGTTTTCTGTCTCAAGCTATGCAATTAAGTGTACGTCGGCATGCAAAATTGCCGGTACTCCTAGTCACATCCATCATCTACACCCAAACGGCGTCCAGTCCTTGATTTTCTAATGCAAATCATGATATTCGGCATCATGTGTTAATATTAGATGGGCTGGTGTCTGGATCTGTGACTCGTGGGATGTCAAGGCTCCAGCCGCCACTTTGAATGTCTCTCAGTACGGGTGGGTTGTCGTCTCCGCGGGTGAGCCGACGTTAAGTTCAATGAACAACTTCAATATAGCCAAGAGTCAAGCCCGAAAATGACCTATTACTCTGCTTGGAATATTCGCCTTCCGAGGGGATAGTGAGAAGATATTCTACGTATCAACTACGCGTTTTGGCCGTAATGCTACCCAAAACGAGATGTAAGCAGCCTTTCTTGCGTTTCCTGTGTTCGCGCACACGCATCAGCAATGCCTCTAGGGGTTGCTTATGCAGTCTGTTTCGCACTTTTAGTCATAACTCCTTCACCCAATGTTCAGTGACGTCGTAAATCAATGACCAAGTACCAGTAGCCATAGATTTGGTAGGTGAGCTTCAAAATTGACTTTCATTTCATTTCAGGGCTGTCCATTTGGCCCTCTCATCCAGTATAATCCTTCATGGCATCACCAATAGCCAACAACTCTTCCCCTTCTTTCCAAGGCTTGCCTCCTCTTAAATCCTTATTCGTGGCTTGAATCAAGACACGGCGGTAACTTGTCAACGCCGGCGTTCCATTATCAGTGACCTCCAAGATGAGATGCAGCAACTGGCCCTTCGCAATCGGTTGCCGGCTAATGAGCTCCATGCAAGACTTCTCAGGTTCAGGCACGGTGACCTTGATCTTCTTTCCCTCCTCGTCCAGCTTTTCGATGCCGAGTTCCGAAACTTCAAAGTGGACTAGCCACTGTGAAGCGCTGGGCTCGCGGTACTGCCACCACTTGAACGTCAACTTATCTCCGTCGGGGTCGTACGTCTCTGAGGCGTCTAGCTCGATAGTGGAATCGGCTTCAGCCTCGAAATACAGCGGCTCCAGGCTCTGGGAACCATTGACGACGACGATGGGGTGGTGATTTGTTGAAGCAAGGTCTGGGTTAAGTGACCACTGCATGCGTGCCGCGAAATCATTTTGGAATGTATCACGCCATCTCCAGATAGTGGCCTGGTTAGAGCGGTATGATTTGCCGTCGACACCGACGACCGAGTCGGACATGTCGCTGTAATGCTTGCCTTGCTGGCCAGCGTCACTGGCGTCGGTGAGCGCATAACGACCGCCCCATGAGCCGTAGTCTGGATGCTCTCGGTCACCTAGACCGTTCTGGATAAGGTAGAGAAATGTAGGGGTATCACCCTCTGGGATGAAGAGGAAATCGGGGTACGCAGAGCCTAGCGGGCCGATCTGAATGTTCTCCTTGATCCATTGCTTTGAGACCTTGGAGAAGTCTGGACCGCCCTGGTCGAAACCGTAGTACTTGTCTCCAGAAATACCCGTCCACGCTGCCAGTCCGTATTGGTTCCAGCCGTGGATGGAGGAGATGTAGAAAACGTCGGGAAACTGTGTGCGGATCCAGGCGGAAGTATCGTCCTGGTCGGAGATTGTGTAAACTCTCAGCTTCGATCGCAACTTGGCTGCTTCTTCGGGGGAGTGTTTGTCTCGGATGGTGAGGAGGACCTGGGCAAGGACGTTGGTGCCGCCCCAGACTAGCACCCAAAGGGGATCTTGTGAAGAGGCCTCGATTCTCTCGAGGAGTAGCTGAGCGCCGTCGGTCAAAGGCTTGTCCGCGCCTACACCGGCGAATCCGTAGACCTAGTTGAGAAAACATCAGCATATTTCATCTTTGGAACATTTGTCATGCCTCAATTGCATACCGCGGGACCAGATTTGACCAAGGCGCGTAGGCTATCGGCTGAGGGGTAAGGGTAGTCCGGATGCGTGTGCTTGTTTAGGTTATCCACGGCGCCGGCGTATGCGTCGAGGATCTTGTGGATGTCTTGAGGGCAGACTTTGTTCTTCATCCATGTTGATGAAACGGCGACAAGGCCCTCGGTCTGGAACTGGTTGGAGTAGAGAAGGTAGCGGACGAGTGACTCGGCGTCGTCGGGCTCGTTCGAGATGTCTGTGAGGACAAACACTCTCGGCTTGTTGGGAAATGTCTGAAGTCTATTGAGTTGCGCCATGGTAATGATATCTCAGGTTGTTGCCGTGTAGTTGTGACGTGATGTGTGCAAGGGAACAAGAATGAGACGCAAATTTGCAATGCAAGGGTTTCGGATCCAGGGGGTTGAATTGAATTGGCACGATCACTTTGAAGGAAAGCTGCCCACTCCCTTATGACGAGCTGTCCAGAGTGATGTTCTCACGACAGCCTCGGTGCTTAAGATTTCCTTGTTTGGAACGACGACAGATCACCTCTCTTTCTCTCACACTCGCCTCTCGCTGAAAACCTGGCCCGAACTTCGCGTGGTGCCCTTGGTAGTCTCGGCCTCTTTCCGGCTCTCCTCATTATTCAACAGGGTGGTAACCCCGCAATCCGACCAGCTTCTGGGGCTTGAGCTTGGCCGATTTGGGGGTTGTCAACCGCCCACACGAGTCGTGTGGGGGCGGCATCTCCATTCTTCAAGGCAATTTACCAAGTCCGCGGTCTGAGGTTGCGTCATTACCGGATGTTTGGAGACCAGAACGTGAAAGAGTTGAATATGTGAGAGAGACAAAGACGATTTGAGTAGTAATCACAAATGCCTCGACCGAACGCCGGCAGAGGCCCAGATAGAGACTGAGATGCGATGCCATGCTCCAAGAGTGTGAAGAGAAACTCAACTATTGGCTTCGGGAAGGATTCCGAGCCATGCTTGATCAAGTCTTGATCACCTTCAAGCATCATTCCATGTTAGATTCGATCAATGCTTAACTTAGAAGCAAGCCGACAATAGAAACAATGTGAGTACCTAGGGGTAACCAAATTAGGAAGTGTCAAGCACCCACCGTCTTTCTCTCGTCCTGACTCCCCAAGATTCCAGACCGCGTCATGTCAATGAGAACCAACATCGGACATTGTCGGGCGGCACCCCCAGTACTTTTCTGGGAGCGCTCTCCGGACAGAGAGTTGGGGCCTCGGATAGCGGCGTGCCAAACTTCTTTTGTAAAATCGGGCGACAACCGGCGACGCGCCTCCACCGTTCGACGCACCAAAACACCGCTAAATGGTGCCGCAAGCCGGGAATAGCCGGGGGTTTGTCTTGAGAGAAGGGCACGCGACAAGAGAATTTTCCTCAGGCAGAGAAGTTGAGACTGCTGCGATGCCACGAATATATGTGTACCTACCATGAAACAGATAGTCCGACTTGCGTATGCAACTCAGCATTGAAGCATCCGTGTAGTCATCAGCGGGAAGAGACGCATACAACATTTCCTGATGTTCCCAAGTCTCAAGCCTAGTAGCGAATCTGCTACGTTAATTTTTTTATAGCAAAAACACATATATCCAGTAGTAACATGTAAATTCATTCGCAGTTAACGATAATAGCTACTGCTGCTTTCCTAGACAATAGTATATATCCGCTTCTTTCCCCTGATTATCATAAACCATCAAGACTAATTCTCGCGTGGGGTTGTTTGCCGGCAAACACTCCTGGATCGGGAAACCCCAGGCACTACACCGGACAAACGGTGGATATTGGCGTGACGGCGTCTTGGTCTTCTGACTCGTTTCGACCAGGACCCAACCAGTCTCCATCTTCCCACATAGAGTCGGGGCCCCGCAGGTATCCCCAGACGATGCTGGCAACACCCCGGATCCACCGTCGTGTCATTCCCCCGAGGTTCCAGATTTCTGGTGTGCCTGTTTCCATGATGTCGGCGTGGGACCATTCGGGTTGGCCCATTCGTACTTACGAGTCCTAATTTCAACCCCTTGTGTGTTGCGGTTTTGCCTTATAAGGACTCGCTAGAGCCCGTGATGGTTGCACTTTCGAGCCTTGTTCTGCATCTTGGCGTTACCCTAAGACTTCAGCCTCTTTTAGCCTGAATCCAAATCGATTCTTAGTCGTTTTGACTCTTCTCTTTTTGGGTTTATTTCGTTTTAGGTTTGAATTTTCAACCGAAAGAAGCATATCCAGTCACGATGGTTGACGCCGAGAAGAAGGACAATGCCGACCACCTTGAGCACCCCGGCGAAGGTCAGGCCCAACTCGCCAATCTGGGAAACCAAGAGGAGCACGAGCTCGGAAAGTTTGAGTCGTTAAAGAAGTACCCGAAAGCGTCTTTCTGGTGCGTCTACGCCGTATGGTGTGTCCTAGTCCTGGCGTTTGAGAACCAGGCAGGCGGCAGCATCTTGAGTATCCCAGAGTTCCGAAAGGACTTTGGTCATGAATTTGAGGGTTCCTATGTCTTGGATACGAAATGGCAATCTGCCTTCAACGGCGCACCTATTGCTTCGTAAGTGATCTCGCATTGTTGTCCGCCATGCGCGATCTAGGGGCGTGCTAACCACGTCTTTACAGAGCCGTTGTTGGTGCGTTAGGCAGCGGTCCTCTCGCAGACATCTTTGGACGAAAGAAGGTCATTGGCCTCGCGTTGGCATTCTCCATCACTGGTATCACTCTTGAATTCGTCGCAACCACAAACGAACTCTTCTTCGGCGGCAAGTTTATCAACGGTTTCGCCATCGGTGCTCTCTCGACTGTGGCCGTCACATACATCGGAGAGGTAATAGCCCAACACCAAGACTTGGGCGCGTAACATGACCAGATTGGGTACTAATTTGAGCCTCATCAGATCACACCCCTTGCTCTCCGCGGTCTCTTCACCTGCCTTTCAGCCTTGTCATACACACTCGGACCCTTGGTCGTTGCTGTCATCGTCAACGAGACCGGCACCATGAACAGTCGCTGGGCGTACCGTGCAGTCTTCTGTGCCCAATATGGCTTCGCGGCGATCGCAGCCATCTTTCTGCCGTTCATGCCCGAGAGCCCCTGGTACTTGGCTATGAAGGAGAAGGATGAGCAAGCGCTCAAGAGTCTTGCCAAGCTCGGGCATGTTGGCGACGAAGGCCGTGTTAGGCTGGCTGTCATTCACCAGACATTGGCGCAGGTTAGCAAGGAGACTGCAGGTGCCAGCTATCTCGAGTGCTTCCGCAAGTCGAACTTGAGACGTACCATCATTAGTATTTCGCCTCTTTGCATCCAGTCACTGTCCGGAATCACCTTCGCTGCCTCTTACTTTACGTAAGTCTACCATCCCTACGCCTTGTGCCTTGACAATTTGCCTGACTGTCTATAGATACTACATGCAGCTCGCTGGCTACAGTACAGCCGACAGCTTCAAGCTGCAAATCGTCCAGCAAATATGCTCCCTTATCGGAAACGTCATGTCATGGTACCTGGTCGACAAAGTGGGACGTCGCCCCTTGACTGTATACGGACTTGCATTCCTGACCGTGATCCTCCTCATCACCGGCGGTCTCGCTCTTCCCGGAACACTCTCCTTTAACAGGGGTACCGTCGCACTTCTGATGATGTACTGCTGGTGGTACAACGTCACGATTGGTGCCACGGCGTACACGATCCTCGCCGAGGTCTCAACTTCGCGACTTCGCATCAAGACCATCGCCCTCGGTCTCGCTCTGCAGAACGCACTTACTACTATGTGGAACTTTGTCTTGCCTTACCTCTTCAACCCCGATCAGCTGAACCTCGGCGCCAAGTTGGCGTTCATTTTCGGTGGGTTGGCTGTCATTTCGTTGGTGCACCTGTGGTACAACTTGCCCGAGACAGCTGGAAGAACGTACGAGGAGTTGGATGAGATGTTTATGAAGAAGGTTCCCGCACGCAAGTTCAAGGAGTACACTACTGAGGTTACTGTACGAGGAGAAGCTGTCAAGACGGCTATGGAGAAGGAAAACAACTTTTAAGGGGGGTGTGAAGACATTAGTGGCCACAAGATACCCTTGATTTCTCGTTGAATAACACCACGACACAATTTCCACGTTACACAAACATCTCAGTCAGCTGTGTTCAAGTATGAAAATTCTCAAACTGATGATATGTGCAGCTGTCATCAAATTCTTGAGCTTGTCAAACTTATCAACTGGAGCGTGACAGCCTGTCAACTGAGACTGAGCAATAGGCAGTGAATAGGAGCTTACATCCCGTTCAATTCACGTCGTAGTTGCATCTCGGAAATGTAAGCTGATTTTGCTTATGAGTACAGCTGGCAGTCGAAAAAAGTTCTAAATGGAGAGCGGATTCTCATGGGGGGTTGCAGTCTCATTGGCAGCTTGCTGAAGGATTGGAGCGAAGGAAGCTTTCTTACATCGAACGTATGTGAACATCTGATTGGCTGATTGGTGCCTTCGGCTCTTTGGAGAAGTTTCCTGCTTAACAAAAATGCAGGGTCGCAGGGCAGGGAATTAATCAGAAATTCAGTTCATCTCTTCACGTTTGGAGGTGGCTTGGCTAGTGCTGACGGAGAATTGGCCGCGTCGTCACCACACCTGTCTCAAATCTCACCACCTCCGACCTCCTTTGACAAAGACCCGTCTCCTTCTCTCTTCATCGCAAAGGTATCGCGGCCTCACAGGCGTTCATATCACCCGTCCAAGCTTTAGGGTCATCGTCTGGTCTGGTGCATTAGCAAAACCAGCAAAATGGATAAAGACAATGCATCAACTGTAGCTGTGATCGGTGCAGGTACGTGATGTGTACAGCTGTCGGACATGAGCCTGCTTATCTGCATGTATTAACGCAACGATGAAGGATCAACCGGTCTGTCGATGCTCAAGACTCTCCGAGAAGATGGATTTGATGCTACGTTATTCGAGAGACGAAGCCGAGTTGGTGGCCTTTGGTCCTACACCGACGACAAGAGCATGACGACTGCGCTCCCTTGTTCGTACCTCAAACGCCCCGAGATGCTTAGGTTTCTAGTTAAACTGACTATCCTAGCTACAAATGCAATCATCAGCAAATACACCTGCGGATTCACGGATTTCCCGATGCCAGATAGTAGGTGCACAATCGTCCCTCTTGAATCATGTCAGTCCCCCTAGCTTCTGACACCCTCAAAGAATATGGTCCATTCTTGAGCCAAGGCGATTTCGAAGAGTACATGGAATCCTATGCCGAGAACTTTGGTCTGTACAAGCATATTGTTTTCAACAGCATAGTCAAGCAAGTTACTCGAAATGGCGACGGCACCAAATGGAAGGTCGAGATGGTCAGATCAGGCAGCCAGGAAGTGAAAGAGTTCGACAAGGTAGTCCTGTGCCATGGCTATCAGACGCAACCTAGAATGCCAACCTTTGAAGGTCAAGAGCTGTACCAAGGTCAGCTCCTTCATTCTCAACAATTTCGAAAGTAAGTATCAGTGATTCATCCCCGTTTTCATGGTACTTGAAGCTCGCTGCTCACCAACGTCGCACCAGCCCGGAAGACTACAAGGGCAAGAAGGTCGTCCTCGTCGGTCTCAGCGCTACGATGAGTGATCTTCTCACCATACTGGTCGACCAAGCCAGGGAGACCTACGTATCCCATCGGAACGGTGCAATGATCATAGGGCGCTGGCGAAACGGCCTGCCCACCGACCTCCTAATCAATCGCTCCCGACGACAAATGTCTTACTTCCTCCAGAGAAACTTTCCAAACACGGTCAACAAGCTTGTCAAGCTCGCCACGGGCTTGTTGATGCGACAGCACGGGAAGATCGATCCCGCATGGCGTCTACTCGAAAACGTTGCCCCGCTGAGCCTACATCTCGCCGGATGCATGGACACGACCCTGGAGCTTCTACGCGAGGGAAAGGTGTCGTCCCTATACGGGATCAAGAGGTTCCTTGGGGGCAAGAAGATTGAGTTTACGGATGGGACCGTTCTAGATGATGTCGACTCTGTTGTCTGCTGTACCGGCTACACTGCAGATTTCAGTCTCGTTCCCTTTGTGGAGACGAGCAAACCTAAAGCAGACGCGGCCGGTCATCCGTATGGAGGCGAGTCCATCGCTAGACTTTACATGAACCTCTTCCCACCAGCTCATGCAGATAGCATAGCGATTCTCGCGTACTCGACGTACGGCAAAAACAACGGCTTCTCATTCTCGGACGTTACCTCCATGGCCATCAGCAACATCTGGCGGGGTGTCAGCGCGGACATGATCCCCTCAAGACCCAAAATGGAGCGCGCCATTGACCGCCATCAACAGTGGGTCGCTGGTCGGTGGCACCAGGAGAACAGATCCGAGCCTGGAGCGGTCAAGCAGTGGGAGTTCCAGGGATTTCTGCATCAAGCCGCTGGCACTGGCATGGAGAACTTGGGCTGGGGGTGGCGTGGTTGGATGACGTGGTTTAAAGACCCTTACATGGTGTACCTGATCAACCACGGTGTCGAGACGGCGCATGCGTTTAGGTATTTCGAGACGGGAAAGAGAAAGACCTGGGACGGGGCGAGAGAGGCAATCATCCACATGAACAAGCTGGTCAAGCAGCTCAAGTCTGTTAAGAAGTGAAGCTGCATGTGCGGATCGTGGAGCCCGAGAATTTCAGCGGTGTCCAGGCGGCGTCAGAGGTCGTTTTCGGATAGTCTTGTTTCGATACTAGTCTTTCCATTGTTATATGTTAGCTGTCTCCTCGCTTATGTATCCACGGCCGAGTGGTGACACCAAGTCCGGAGTTAGCCCCGCAAACTCCGGCCTTCACCTCCGTAAAACCCAACACGGGCCCTCCCGAACGTGCCGTCCCCTCCTCGAAGCCGACCGGATCCTTTACCGAAGATGACCACGGGCTTGGCCAGATGCTGTATCACCGGCGTAACCCGTCGTTATGACCGACAAACACTGGTTCCAGGCGGGTTTGGTGCGCATCTATTGATGCAGTGAACGCAACGCACGACCATCGAGTACGTCACAGACGCAACAGATCCCCGCATCAAAATGTCGGATCGAGGAGTCTCCTGTAACCGGCATGGAGCCGTCGGTATGAGCGCTGCTAAATTCCGGTCATATTTCCGGAGTGATGTCAGCCGTTCTCGACTGCCGATGCCCCTCACATTGTAAAGTATAAATATTCGACTTACAATCTATCTGGTGATGTGTCTTTGGAACGCAGGGTTTTCAATCAGTGTCACTAGCTTTTGATTTCTTGTAAGAGACATTTTTCAGCAGCCCATTGCATCAACTTAGCACCGCCTTAGATCTCATCCCGAAACACAATCACAATGTCCAACTTCATGGCAGAAGCGCCCGAGCCTCCTACCGAGCTGGGCAGGCTCCGCGTACTCTCGCCCAACGCAGGCATCCGCGTATCCCCCTTAGCTCTCGGCGCCATGTCCATCGGTGAAGCCTGGGCAGAGGCAATGGGCGCCATGAACAAGGAGCAGTCCTACAAGCTCCTCGACGCCTTCTTCGAGTCTGGCGGCAACTTCATCGACACGGCAAACGGCTACCAGGACGAGCAGTCAGAAAAGTGGATTGGCGACTGGATGAAAGAGAGGGGCAACAGAGAGCAGATTGTGCTCGCCACGAAGTACACCTCGGACTACCAGAGCCATGCCCTTGGTAAGGGCCACACGGCCAACTTCACGGGCAATCACCGCCGCAGTCTCCACGTCAGCATCCGGGATTCGCTCAAGAAGTTGGGTACGGATTACATCGATATCCTGTACCTGCACTGGTGGGACTACACGACGTCCATCAAGGAGATCATGGACTCGCTTCACATTCTCGTAGAACAGGGCAAGGTCCTCTACCTCGGAATCTCAGACACTCCCGCATGGGTCGTCAGCGCTGCCAACACGTACGCAGTCGACCACGGCAAGACGCCCTTCAGCGTGTACCAGGGCCGATGGAGCGTGATGCACCGCGACTTTGAGCGCGATATCCTCCCCATGGCCCACACCTTCGGCATGGCCCTGTGCCCGTGGGACGTGCTGGGATCCGGCAAGTTCCAATCGAAGAAGGCCCTGGAGGAGCGCAAAAAGGCCGGCGAGGGGCTGCGGTCCTTTGTCAGCACCGGCGAGCAGACGGAGATGGAGGTCAAGATGAGCGAGGCGCTGGAAAAGGTGGCGGGCGAGCACGGCACGGAGAGCGTGACAGCCATTGCCCTTGCCTATGTCCGCAGCAAGGCGCCTAATGTGATTCCCATTGTGGGCGGCCGCAAGGTCGAGCACTTGAAGGCGAATATTGATGCGCTCAAGATCAAGCTCACGGATGAGCAGATTGCATTCTTGGAAGACGTCAAGCCCTTTGATGTTGGGTTCCCTGGCAACTTCTTGGGTGCGGACCCCAATATCACTGGAAAATCGTTCCGACTGGCACGCGCTTCCCAGATGTCGTTCCCGAACTCGGGCAGACAGACGAGTATCTAAGCCAAATAGATAGAAGCTAGATTAAAAGTATAATGGAAGCCGTATTTCGCTACACAAGATTATGAGGAGAACCGCTTGTCCGCTCAAATGAATAAGTATTGTCAATGGGTCGGTGTCTCTACTGGCTGGAGTTTGGGAGAGACTGTGTCAAGGACTTAACCCTACTCAGCGTAGGCTTGATGCTTGAACTGACGATTTCACAAAAGTTCGTCTTGGTTGATATCACTCATCTCAAGTGGTCACACAGACGAGCTATCTTTCCTCAAAATTACGCTTGAATTAATGACTATAGTTGAGACCTATTTCCACGAGGCAGAGATGCAGAGGATGCCTCCTTTCACCACCTACGACCTATCAATCTGCGTGACGGTGGCCTTGTCCAAGCCCTTGTGGGTATCCTTATCAAAGTCAACCGCAGCATCAGCATGCGTATCAAGACCCATCTGCTTCATGGCATTCGTTCCCACCGCCGCATCCGGTCCGTCAAAGATCTCCGCCACCTCTTCGAGAGACCGTCCCTTGGTCTCGGGGAAGAAGAACCAGATCAGGGTAAGGTGGATGGCGATCGCCACGCACCACACGATGTAGTACTTCCACGCAATCGCCTCCATGGCGACGGGGTTCGCGAAGGAGTTGTAGACACCCGCCAAGTTTCCGGTGAGCTGGTAAAGCATGGAAGCCTTGGCACGCAACGAATAGGGCGTGACCTCCATGATGTAGGTTGCGCCGATGGGCGAGCAGGCGTGGTACCAGAAGGAAAAGACAAAGATCATGGCCAAGACGGCGCCCGCGTATCCTATGTGCTTGAAGCCAGTCTCCTGGTTCAGCGCGGAGCAGATTGTCCAGATAACGTATGAGACGCCCATACCAGACATGCCGGTGAGGAAGAGTCTGCGTCGGCCGAACTTGTCCACCATGGTGGCGAAGACGCAGGCGGAGAGGAAGCCCCAAATCTGCAGTCCTGCGTTGATGAGGAGCTGGGTCTTGTGGTCGGTAACATTAATCGAGTTGAGTACCCTGAACAAGTTTGTTAGCTATTGAGACGGTCACGAAAGGGGGTTTAGGTTCAAAACTGACTTTGAGAGGAAGTATGAGGTCAAGGCGTTGCCAGACCACTGCAGCATGGCAGGAATGTACAGAGCCAAGAATAAACGATGCCAGTTGCCACGGGTCGAGATCCATTCAGCCCAGCGCGACCTTTTCTGCACCTTCTCCACCTCGAGCGTGGCCGTGATCTCAGCCATCTCGAAGCGAGCAAGCCTGGAGTTGGGGTCCCCGTAACCGTGCCACTTGACCAAGATATCTCTCGCCTCCTTGTAGCGGCCCTTGTAAATCAGCCATCTGGGCGACTCGGGGCAGAAGAAGACCAGAGACGCCTGGATGACGGAGCAGACGCACTGCAACAAGCTGGGAAGACGCCACGCCCACGAGTTGCTCATCTTGAAGGTGCCGAACGTGACCCAGGCGGCGATGAGGGCACCGAGCGGCCACGAAACCATCATGAAGGAGACGACCTGTGCGCGGTGGGTAGGGTACGTGACTTCAGATAGAAGCGGCGGGGCGGCCGTCGAGATGATGCCGAGTCCGAATCCAATGATGAAGCGGGAGGCGACGAACATGCCGTAGTTGAGGGACCAGGTCTGGATGATGGAGCCGACGATGATGAGGATAGAACCGCCAAAGATGGGCTTCCGGCGGCCGAGCCAGTCGCAGAGCTGAGAGGAGATGAGGATGGAAATGAGGACGCCGCCGTTGGGGCCGAACGTCATGGCGCCGAGGCGCGTTCCTTTCGGCTCGCCAAAGAACTCCTGCCACTGCGGCAGTGACTGCATGCCATTGAGCATGCTGGCGTCGAAGCCCGTTGCCGTCTGGGTCAGGAGACCGCTGAGGAGCAAGAGGTTGAGCTTCCACAGGGTCCCGTCGCTGTACCATGGCTTACGATCGTGAGGGATAACATCGGCGAGGACGAGGCCTTGAAAGTCGTCGCTATCGGCTCCGGGCGAGTGGACCTCTTCGGTGATTGGCTTTGCCATTGTGATATCGTCGTCTCTCGTCGGTTGAGTTACCGTTGTCAACTTTGTCGTTGTCTCTTGGGGTACTGACTCAGACTTGAGCGGCTGCTGAGTTGCGGGCCTGCAGGGTAGTAGTGATTCCGGCGCAACGGTCCTTTATATCTCGAGACGAACTGGCAGTTGGGACAGTTGGAGTCGCGATGCGAATGCGGAATAGCGCCGGCTTGCCTACCATCCAGTACATTGACCGATGCCCCCTTTCAAGTTTTCCCCATGGGCAAGAAGCAACTAACCCCGGCTGCCAGACAAACGCGGAGGAAGCTAAGGTTGAATCAGACCACTGCGCCGGTATCCGTAGACTGTCAAGACTGGCCTTGTTCGAATGGTGGTGGCCGGCGACGCTTGTTGGTGCGCATCGAAAAGCGCCGGGGATGCCTTTACCCCGATGCCCGATGCAGCATCACGTGGAGTAAGAGGTTTTACCCCAGATCTTCCCCAGGTTCCTCCTCTTTCTCCTCACGAGTTCTCTTCTTCTCCGAGGTGACTTCTCCTCACGCGACTCCTCGACTCCTCACCACACTTAGATTCGCCCCCGGCCATACGTGCCCAGTCTCGGGGAATAAGAGCCGGCGGTGCTTGTTTGAACCTCGGGAGGCCCATCCCCCGGTATCCCCGTACCCCGGGCAACGGCGTTTTCGACGGGCTTCTTACGCCGAGATGCCGAGACACGGGGAGGATGCGGCGCAAGTTAGCGACATGAAGCGAAAGCTTTTTCAAGAGACGAACCACACTACGTCACAGATGACCTTCTTTAAAGATGGTTCGCCTCACTTGAAGGCGAAGTCTCCTTGGGTATCCACAATCAGCAGTGTGTTGGCGAAGATATCTACTACGGAACCAGTGTTCAGAATCCCAAAGTCAAAAGCATAGTGTATTGAAGCTACAAGCAAGTGATTGTTGGGTACTTTGTCAAATGTTGCCAAGGCACAGGATGCACAATCAGCATGCAGTGATGTTTGCTTGATGCAGTTGGAATCCAACGAACCTACATATACCCGGAGGGCATTACCCTGACGGGCGATGCGCGCCCATGCTGGCAGAATCTGACCGGCGAAAGTAAATCAGCTGACTATCGTGGTTAATTGAGCGATGTAAAGCACTCGCCGCTCGTCTCTTGCCAGCAAGGGCAGCAATTTGTCGTAGGCTTTGGCTCTTAAACCAGGGGGCAGACTGGTAGACTCTCCTACAACGTGATCTACGACTTGTTACGAAGATCGACCAACGGCTTTATGGTTACATGATTGCCCAGGACAAAGCTGTAATTCTATCTTTCAACGATTTCGGGCCCTCGAAGCGCCGACACGCCCACAGCCTCGAACGCGATGCAACATTGTGTCTTACAACCGTGATACTTGCCGCCTTAGTGGAAACAGCTTGTCTTTGCTTTTTTTTTCTTGCATTTGATCAGATCAAAGAGGCGTGTAGCGCAGTGACGAGGATCGCCCTGCTGATGGAAGCACTCAATGACTTGGTTACTTCAATAGCCTATGATGGTCCCACAGACTTTGTGACTCGTACACAGGTTATACCTGTCCTCGACTGACTTGACCGCCTCCTATAGCAATCTTGTTGATAAAGTCATGCGGGATGTTGTTGTCCCCGCGCGTGTATGTAGGTATACCCTTCTGACTGGGGCGTATGCGAAGCGGACAATTTGTATCTTATTATCTCTTCCTAAATACTTCACTAAGAAGGGAGCCGAGTCCAAGACCAGCGAGGAGCACGAAATGACCCAACGTCTAACACTGCCACCCCCGGCCAACCGGTCTCAACAAGCCTCGTCTGCGCCTAGTCGTGGTTTCAGCAGCAAGAAGCAATAATTATGTTAGCGAGAGACCAAATGCCTCAATGTCGCTCATGCTATCACATCATTTGACAATATACAAATCTTCCAATGGGTCAACATGCGCCCAAACGCCCGTATCTGGGATCTTGCATATGGACACAGTGCTGACGGAATGACGAGAAGGATTTCCCTCGTACTACTGCATCATTGACTCGGAAACGCTGACTCTGACGGATGGTCCGACCCTCACTTGTACGAGAGGATTGTGTGCACGTTGAGGCATCGTCATCCTCACCGCAACAGCGAGTTCTGCCTGGACTATGATAGTGAGACGAGGATGCAGTTATCTGCTCTTCGATATATATATCGACTTTGTATGCTGAACCCGAACCCTTCCGGGGAAGCAACTATCGGATATAAATACAAAGCCGTTCCTCGGACTAAATTGTAAAAGTTTGCAACATGACAGCTCATAACAAAGTGGTGTTACAATAAAGGCCACACTCTACTGATTCAATACTATAACACAACGTGAGGAACCCCGTTCGTCCCACCGAGATTCCGACTAACTCACAAACATCCCAGACCGCCACCATGAAATTCACAACGACCATCCTCTTCGCCCTCACAGCCCACCTCCAGTCCACCCTCGCCGGCATCGCCCCTACCGCCGCCGAAGAATGCGGCGACCTAGGCGTCATGTCCTACACGGCCTCCTCCCTCGACAGCAGCGTCGACCCCGCCAACATCCGTAAGTGCAGAGAGCATCCCCGGACCCTCAAAGGCGGCTCGTCCCCGAACCTGCAGGCCCGCGAGTGCTGGTTTGGCGATGAGTACGGCTGCAGCAAGGGCTACTGCTGGGAGTCGTGTGACAGGGAAAAGGGAACCTGGTGCTGGGCGGCGTGGAATGAAGGACACGGGAACTGGCGGACTTGTTCTGGTAAGGAGCAATGCAGGCCCGCGGAGCAGTCTGCTTGTGGGAAAGATTGTAAAGATGCCAAGGAGTGTGGATGTAGCTGTCACTGAGAGATTTTGGATCAGCCAAATGGTCTTGTTTTACCTGTCTTTACCTCTTGGGAATATTGACTCGAGTAAGGTGGATTTCACTCGTTACGTCCCTTAGTTTCGCTTCATCTTGATCCTTCAAATGTTGCGCTAAAATGCTCCTTCGACTAGGATAACAAATCTTCACAGTAACTTCAATATCAGCAAAAATCTTCTTTCATATTTTATCCCTCACGAAATCTCACCCATACTCATTGATATACTAAGTATATCCAAATGAGTCGAGTATCATCCAAGGTGTGTATAGAAGGGTTTCAGTCTCGTCCTTAGATGGAAGTAGTAACACCAGGATTATATGAATTGTCATATAAAAAGTAGCATAAAATTCTCAGATGTCTAATTGTATATTCCATTCAATTGGGAAGAAATCATAAAGTTGTGTGGCCTAGAAATGAATTCTCTCAGATCTTTAATCGTACTTTCAAATCACAAATGTTGCAGAAATGGAGTTTGCAATTCTTGGTACCCGATATTAGCGGTCAATAATGAAACAACGCCAGGCAAACCTCAAAAAGCTCTCTTCAAGCTTTTCCCTCCCTAAAATGCACTACTACTGCACTACCAACAAAGCCATCGGGTCCGGAGCAGACGCCGTCACCCGGACGCGGCAGGCGGCAGAGGGCCGTTACATCATGGCCGAAAGCTCCGACCGCGCCCCACCAATGGCGCACAATCCCCCGCAGGCCAATCACCTGCGACGGCTACAACCCCACCAACGACGACGCCCACACCAAAAGGGAAAGGAACTCGTGCCGGCCGCAGCATCTCGCAGCTCATCCCATCTCCGGGCAGCAAGACGACCAACCAATCACCAACACCGCGCGTCTCTTCTTTCTTTTGATTCCAGGATACTCCTTATAAGTTAATTAGATTCCTTTCTTTCTTTTCCTTCTCTGGCAAGGACAGCAGATATTCGAAAGAGACCCTTCCTAAATATCACGACTATCGCAATGGCTGAACCAGCGTCCCAGCAACAGCCGTTGGAAGACGGCAAGACTCTCACGCCAGACGCCATCGCTAACATCCTCTCATCCGCTTCGGCATGGGCCGATCCAGGCTCCGTAGACCAGGGCCGCGCGCACAGGACCGCACTGCTGGGCGATGTACTCCTTACGGCGCAGCAGCTATGGAACAGTGGCAGTCAAGAGATTGACGTTGTTGCGGAGAAGCTGGGCGATGGAAGCAGAGACGGTGAGAGGCTCCTTGAAATATCATAACTCGTGTATCTCACATGAGGACCTGACCGAAAGGCATACTGACACACTCCAACAGCATCATGGAGACTGCCCCTGGGAGACTCGGGCATCGTTGACTTCTTCCTCTCCGTCGTTTCCACAGAGAACCTCAGACCAGCGTTGAAGAAGCACTCTCTCCGTCTACTCGGCAACTCATGCGCCGACACAGGTACCAATCTGATTCACTCATATTCTCTATGAAGATGTGACAACTGACTTACTCTCCTAGATGAGAACCGCGCAAGGGTCGTGGCATCAAACGCAATCACCGCCGTCATCAGCTTCCTCACCGACGACGCCGCCCTCCCCTTCGCCGTGCCAGTCCTCTACAACATCCTCGTCGACTACGAGCCCGCCCAGATCCAAGCAAGCTCCTCCTCGCTCACCCTCCACCTCGTCAATCTCCTCACCAGCCCACGCCTCGCCAGCGCGCCGCATCTCATGGGCATCATTGGCAAGATCCTCGCCTTGCTCGCCACGCACGGTAAGTTTCACTCACCCCCTTGAGACCACAAAGCTCACACCCTTCACCCAGAAACCGAAGCCAGCTTTGCACCCCCGCAAACACCAACCGTCCTCCTCACCCTCGCCCTCACACCCACAACAGACGCAGAAGACTTCGTCTCCCTCACAGCCGTCGCCCTAGCCTACCTAACCCACGCGCCCATCCAAGCCGCCCTCGTCGCAACCGGCTCCGTCCCCATCCTCCTCGCCACATTCTACCACCTCCAAACCCAGCTCGACGCCCTCCGCGTCGAAGACGAAGACGCCGCCGTCCTCCTCAAATCCCTCCCGCAATCCTTTGTCCAGATCCTCGCCGACGTCTCCTACGCAGACGACTTCTCCCTCCACCACCCCATCGGCTCCCCCGTCCTCGACACCCTCCACAGCTGGCTCGCCACGACAAACACCCACCTCCAGTCTGCAGCCTGCCTCTGCCTAGGCAACGTCGCCCGCTCAGACGAAGCCTCCTACGCCCTCGTCAAATCCCACGCCGTCCACGTCCCCCTCACCGCCCTCCTCGCCACAGCAACAGACACAATGCTCCTCCACGCCGCCCTCTCCTTTTGCAAAAACCTCGCCATCCCCTCCCAAAACAAACCCGTCCTTGGCGACGCGGGCCTCTTCTCCCCCGACATCCTCCCCCGCATCTGGTTCCTCGACGTCAACCCCCAGATCCAATTCACAGCCGTCTCCCTGACCCGCCTCCTCCTCGTAAACACACCCACCAACGTCCGCCGCCTCTGCGCGCCCCTCTCCCCGGACCCTCTCTCCCCCTCGCACGAGACAACGCACCTCCACCGCCTTCTCGACATGGTCTCCCGCACCGACGCAGAACACACAAAGACAGAAGCCGCCCGCGCCGCTGCGGCAGTCTGCCGCGTCCTGCACACCGCGCCCATCCCGCCCATCCTTCCAGACTGGGACCCGTCCGAAGACGGCTACGTCTTCCGCCCCGAGAAGCCTCTGTCCCCGACGGCCGTGGCCGAAGCAGAAGGCGACGGCGGCGCGCAGCGTAGGGAGAAGTTTTACAGGCGGCACCCGGGGCTGAATAAAGCCCTCGCGTTCCTTGTCACGCAGACAAAGTTCCCCGTGCTCCGCAGCGAGGCGTGGTTCGTCTTTGCGCTCATGTGTCGCGCCAAGGACGGCGCTGACGTGGTGTTGCGCACGCTGCAGGTCCCCGGTGCGTTTGAGGCGTTGACGGAGGCCGTTACCGGACGGACGTTTTCTGGGGAGGATAACAACACAGATCAGAAGACCATTGAGGGGGCACCGGCTGCGGGTGGTGGTGGGCAGGCGGTGGTTATCAGCGGTGGAGATAATGCTGCCATGGTGGAGGGTCTTGGACTGGAGCCGCAGCAGGCTGACCCGTCGCAGGCGGCGGGCATGAAGAAGGTTGATCGGGAGAATGGGCTGGTTATGGTGTCGGAGCTGGTTAGGAGGCATGCGGATGAGTTGCCGGCTGTTAGGAGGGCTGCGTTTGAGGAGATGTTGAAAGAGGGTGGCGAGCTGATGGCTGATGAGAAGGGGAAGGGCAAAGCGTAGGCCAGATATTGAAGACCTCGACGCCTGAACGAACTGCTGTGCCTCGATTACTTCGTGATCTCTTAGCAATGTGGGAAACAGTAACTTCCCTGTACTATTTTGGATCACGGGGGTCGAGAAAATTTACATCACATCATCACCGAATGGAACCACATTTGGAAATAAAAGCAATCGAATCAATCCTTTAGTCTACTCCAGTCACCTTTGACCCATGATACACGTCACGTCGTTTTCGTACGATGCGTCTTCCTACGCCCGTCGAATAGACGACGGGAACTTGGGCAGTGGTAGGGGGCAGCAATCGACACAAGCGGGCGTGATCAATGCAATAATTTCTTTATGACCTTGTCCTGAGAGTATCTCATTCCACTGAACCCACGCCAGGCCAGAAGATAACAACCCGACCTCCGAAGAACTTTTTTCCCTTCTCCGAAAGTGTTTTTGATGTGCCGAAAGCAGCAGGCGAAAATCCCATTTCCATGCAGCAGCTTAAGCTTAGCTGCACTAGTAGCCGCAGCATCAAACAAAGCCCCCCGACACCACAAGAGACGACAGCAGAGCAGCAGCGGTAGCAAAGACAGAGACGTGCTGCGTTTATTTCTTGGCAGCTTCGGCCTCGGCCGCGTCGCGGGCGCGCTTCTCCTTCTTGCCCTTGTTGCGGGCCTCGGCTCTCGTGTCGCGGAGCTTGCGGTAGGCACCGCCCTCGATGTTCTTGGGAAGGTCGGACTTGGAGATCTCGGAGAAGCCGGAGACGGCCTTGGGGATGGGGAGGGCGGCGGAGAGGTTCTGGACGGTCTCGGTCTTGGCGAGGTCGACCTTGGAGTCGCCCTGCTTGACCTTGTTGGAGCGGCGGGGGAAGACGACGAGGCGCTCCTTGTAGGCCTTGAGGCGAGCGACGTTGGCGGAGAGGGACTCCTCGCTCAGGTTCTTGCGGCGGCCATCGACGGCGATACCGATAGTGGGAGCGTAAAGGCGGGGGATACCAGCGGCCTAGCAGAAGCGCGTTAACTCTCAAAACTTTCCTTTACTGGCACCGGAGCGTGCCCCTCCATCACGGGTTGGATTGAATCGTACCTTAAGCTCGTCCAGAGTGAAACCACGGCCGGCACGGACCTTGCGGTTGTACTTGATGGTAGGGCATCTCACGACAGGGCGGAGCAAGTCGGTGGGACGGGGAGCGACCTTCGCGGCCTTGGCCTGACGGGCGACACGGCGGCTGTGCTTCTTGCCGGCCTATTGTGATGTTCCAAGTCAGATCCAAATTCCTGTCTGCCATTTCCATTGTCCCAGTCTCGTCTGTTTTCCCGGGGGACAGAAAAAGAGTGTCCAGCGCAAAATAATCATACCTGGTCGAAGTGCGTCCGGACCCGGCGCTGCCAATCCTTGCGGAAGTCTGTGGTCAAACAGTGTCAGTACTTTGTGTCTCTCGATATGTCGTCGTCTTTCGCAAGTCGTCGCTCTTCGCGTGGAGGGGTGCTCACGGTTGTGGGGGATCTGCTGGTTGTGTGCGATCGCCTGGAAAAAAGAAGAATGTCAGTATTTGCGATGCGATGCCGTCAATGGCGAGTATCGTGGGCGCGTCGACGTACCATTGTGCCTGTATTGCGCGATCAAGGGGTTAGTAGTCCGGATGGGCCGTCGTCGAGATGCTGCTGCAGGCTTCGAAAATTCCTTGAGAGGGACGAGTCAAAATCTCTGGAGGGCATGAAAACCCTACGAAAGGCAGGTACGTACTAGAGGTTTTTGGGGTGGGACGGTTGCAATTGTTGATTGGCTGTGGGATCCACTTGGTGTGGCAGGGCGAAAGACAGGCGACGGCCGAACCCTATTCCGGATTTTCATCTTGTGGCTGAGGAGGATGGGTTTTCGGTGTGCAAGTGGGTACGCGTTGGCTTGTATGGAAGAGACTGTCCACGAACGCTCATCCAGTTGCAGATGTGCCAATGTGGGTAGTTTCTGTTCCTGACCTACCTTAGTCTGAAGTCTTGATTGCATTGCGGCATTCCGAGTAATATCTTCAATGGCCTATCAATGGCCATTCTGCCAACGCCGCTAGAGATTGGATCTCTCATTGTCCTTGACGCTCTGAATAACAAAGTGTCGCAAGCTGACAATTTGTCTATGTGAGCCATAAGACGACAGCTTCGCTGAAGTTTTAACATATTGGATCAGGTGTCCCGCCAATGTGTGATAGTGATTGATTTCATCGGTACCTGCTCACTAGCTGCCGCATCTCAAATGGCCACTGACTACTCCCTACCCACGTGTACTCATCTCAGCTCGTATAACTTGGCCGCCACACTGTTTTGAGGTCGGCGACCATCTAGGCAGTTTGCAAAGATGGACATTCGAAGATGCAGTAGACCTGGGAGTTGCGATGCCTCAATGACTTACAATTATGAGAAGCCAAGGATCATGTCCACCTTGAGGAAACGTCCCGAAGCCAAAATGCACCTTCTCAGATGGTCACTAAAAGCTCCGGTGCTTGCCTAACTGCCTCACAAGATCGCCCTTCTCTTCGTCTTGCAACTCTGGAATGTCGCTCCTTCTTCGAGATTGAGGTGCTTTCCCGTTATGCTGTACTTGCCAGGCGTGCCAGATTGGTAGTCCGGCATCCGGCAGGTACTGTCAGCTAAGGTAGGCACCCCTCTTGCCCCGTTAAGCTCCTTCCCGTCCGCCGTTGAATTCGAGATGCACCGCAAACCAGATACGTACTTTTCACCGAGGCAGAAGCTTCAGTCCGCCTCAGGCACATTAAAAAGGGATCGTCACGCACGTGACCCTAGGCAGCTCCAGCCTCCAGGTCACCTTGAGGCCAAATTACTGATTGCGGCGCACCTTGGGAGATTGCAGAATATCTATATAATGCCCCGCTGTCCTCCCGTCTTTCCACTCTCTTTTGCTCTTTTTCTTCTTCATACTTACCTTGATGGGCGTGCTGGGGATCAAGAAATCCGGTACGCAGAGAGGGATGCCTGCATTGCACATCGTGGAGCCCTCCTCTCTCGATAGTCCTTCGGGGCCATCGCTGTTGTAATTTTTGATTTTCAAACCAGAACACTTTTCATTGTGTGCCCTGCCTGGTGCAGGGTCATGAAGAAGGGTCCCCTGAGCCGGTCTGATGGTGATTGCGTTCTGCGATTTAACTGTGCATGAATGGGAGTCCCTAGTTCAGATAGCGATGGCAGTCAGGCTAGAGCTCTTTCCGGCCTTCAAAGTCTCACGAACGTCAATCGCAGCACAAGGGAGGTTTGGTATTCTCTGGATTAGGTACTGTGAAGCTTCATTTCTGAGGACGACTGGCTGTCATTGCGTCCATCGCAGCGGCCCGCAGGAGGTTAGACGTACGAACAGGATTCCAATGTCTTGCCACCACCACGCTGCAGGCAGAGCTTGCCTTTATTCTAGCAATTTGTAGATACTTCCGTCTCGGGCAACACGCTCTCGTCAGGTATGGCTAATTGTGCATTGCTCAGAGCAAGCAATATTTCTTCTCTACGGCAGTGACCTCTATGTCTCCGTGTAAACTCGATGAACTGCTATTGAAAGCAAATAATCTGTCCAGACATCGCGATGCTGCCACCAATGCATTGGCCTCGACTCCCTTGAAAAATCAATCCCCCAGCTCGTCCATCGACAACATGTACAATCGCCAGCTGTACCCAGCCGAGCCCATCTGTCCTCCCACACAGCTCAAAAGCTCCCTTCCCGACCAGCTGGCCCGTCGTCGTACGAGAAAAGCTCCTCGGGACAAACCGCACCAATCACAACCCTCCAAAAAACCATGCAAGCCCAGGTCCAAGGGGATCCATTCAATTCCCAGAAGCTCCAAAAAATCTCATGACAAGTGCTTTTTTCGGCTTCTGCGTCGCCCCCCGTCCCATTCCCCCCGTGTTCCGAGCGAGAGAGAGAACGTAACCTCGCCGACCTCCCGCCCAAAGGCCAATCCGAATCGACGAGCCTCAATTACCTCCCGATCGCCTGATCATCCGCCTAGCCCAACCGGTTCAATTATCGAGGACTACCCGTTGACGGAACCACCTGCTTCCGACCCCAAGATACAGACAGTACAATGGCATCCAGAGTAGGCCCCCGGAGCGCCTCGGACGCAACGCGCTTCACCTCAACCACCCCGCACGCCGCATCCAAGAGCTCTCCCACATCAGCAGCAGCAACAACAGGTGCGTCGACGACAGGGACGACAACGACGACAGCATCATCAACACCGGCGTCAACGTCACCACAGCCTCCCAAGATCCCCGGCCGGCAACCGGGCGAGAGCCCCGAAGACCGCGTCCGCCGCCTCCGCGCAGCCCACGAGGCGGCGCGTAAGGCTCAGACCTCGAGCGTCGACCGCGTCATTGGCGGCAGCCGTCGCTTCTTTGATGTCGCGCACAAGTTTACTGTCCTCGGACTGGTCGGGTTCACGGGTATGTCTATGAAAACCCCTCGTACGATTATCGGGGCACAGTCTTTAGGGTAAACTTGGGATTGTCTCTCAGATGACAAGTTGCCATGGAAGGAGACGAAGGAGAGGAAGAAGAACCTAAGCTAACACCCCAAAAGCAATCGCAGGCCTCGTCTCCGTCTACTCCGTCTACGACATGGTAACCTACAACAAGCAACGCCGCACCGACTTCATCGAAGCCCAGCGCAAAATGGAAGACGACGCCCTCGCCACCGCCCGCCTCGCCTTCATCAAGGGCACCGCCACCGACAACCAAATCACCCTCGTCGAGGAGGCAAACGCCCTCGCCCGCGAGACGGGCGTCAAGCTTCCCCCCTTGCTCTCCGCCCCGACCCACACCACGGGAGCCGAGAAGATTTTCGGTACGGGCCAGCAAAGGACGGCGGCTGATGCCGCCTCGACGACTGCGACCGCAATCACCCCCGCCTTCCCCACGACGTCTGAAGCTGCAATCCCCGCCCCGAAACAAAAGAGCAGCAGCTGGTGGCCCTTTGGCGGCAGCAACAACAAATCCGACGCCGCAGAGACCAGCTGGAGCGAGGAAGACGAGTCCTCTGGCGTCCGCGCCACGGACCTCGCGCGCGCCGTCGAGGACAGGAAAGAGTTCCTCCAGGACAAGGCCAAGGCCGCCTTTGAGCGCGAGAGGGAGAACCAGCGCCGAGGCGGTCCGCTGGACCAGGTCGGTCTGCCGCAGGAGGAGAAGAAGGCCGAGAAGAAGGGATGGTGGTAGAGAACTTTGTGTCTCTGTCCGGCTTTTGAACGCACCTTCTTGGACGGCCGGTGTTATAATATGATACACAAGAGAGGTGGAACCAATGGAGGACCGGCGCGGTCTTTGTATCTGAATGTGACGATATCTGGTGCATTGAAACAAAAGAAAAAGTCGGCTGCGGAGGCAAGTGTACGAGAAACGATCATCTCCACCCCTAGACAGAGAGTCGGAGAGACGGACACCTACGTCGGTACAAAATTGGGGCGCATCAGGAGAGAAGAGGTTGAAGGCCGGCCGACTTTACCACGGCAAGGAGGACGAAGAGGAGGAGGCTGCCGAGTGTCACTGTATCATACGTGTTAGACTGGATTGTGCATTAGACGGCGTCCGGTTGACAAAGTTTTGCATGCGGGATAGGGGGAGAAATAATATCACCTTCGTCCCTGCACAACCAAGTTCTGTTCTATCTCGAAGCATCCCGATCCATACATCTCACCGCGTTTCGGACCACACACTTGAATCACGCGAGTACAGTCTCTGGGACTTCCTCCATCATCAATACGCAGTCACATGAGCAGGCTAATAGTGCTTTAACAATGAACAGTGCTGGCGCATTTCCGCCGCATGATTATGTCCTTTGGACCGGTATTATGTACAACCGCGAAAACGCTTCAAAAATGCAGGCTTCCGCCGAGTCTCAGTCTGCCACGCCGGGCCAGTTGACTCCCCAATCCCAAGTGATGCATACCGGTAACCTATGAACCGTGACAAAAGAGCTTGCCCAACAAGCCCCGAGCGAGTGTAAAATATGTGCGCTAAATGTGGTATTACCGCCAGCCGAGACTCCCGTGTCTCTTGCACTTTGTCCCGAAATCAAAACTGCCGTACCATGTGGACCGGAAAATGCCATCCGGATTTGATCAACTCGATCGCTTGTCGATCTTGAGATTCTTCCAAACACCTTTCGTCGAATTCTCTTCGTTTTTCTTCACTTGTCGGACGTCGCCTGCGCTCTTTGCGGGGCGTCTGCACCGCCAAATCATCAGGCAAAAGTATTTCTTGCCCGTTCTATGAGACAACAATGTGATTAAAATGGCCCGGCACCTTGAGGCGGCACTTTTCGCAATCAGCACGGTAACCGATGCTGAAGCTCTTCTTCATACCAGGCTGCCAGGTCCACGAGTTGACAGTGTGCCTAGATCGAATATGTCCCTTGCGTCCCGGCGAGGGTGTTGCCGGCGCTGACGTCGTTTCAAGGGGGCCGGCGTCGATGGTGGTGGTGACGGGATCATCGCTCATCATATGCGAGTGATCCTCCACCTCCATCATGCCCATATCATGATGGTCGTGTCCGTTGAGGGACGACTGTTCCAAGCGCGCCGTCAGGTTGGACGGGAAGCCATTGTCGAGAACCATCCCTGGGGGGCTCAGGCTGCCGCTGCCAAGGTGGCTCGTCGAGTCCTCACCCTCGCTAATAGGCGACGGCAGACGGCGATTCTGGACAGCGTGCCAGTCGTCCGTGCCTTCCATGGTACGGGGAATGGAGCGGGACTCGTCGCTGCCGAAGCCGGCGTGCATATGGCCCATATTCACGACGCCGGTACGATGGCAGACTGTGGGTCCCGGGCCACGCCAGTCGCGGCCGGAGGAGCCGCCATTCATGAATTGGGAGGCAAAGTTTGGCTGGATCGGGGTGGGCATGCGGCCATTGACAGAGGCGGGCTGATCCGAGTGAATGTGCTGCTGCGGGACAGGCGGTGGTGACATTGTGTCCATCATGTCCATATCACGATCGGGCTCGGTCGGACCAAAGGGTGAGGGCTGGCAGGACATGGGTGCGGGTGATGAGGACCATGGCGAGAAGTGCGACCTGGGCTGTTCCTCCGAGTCTGAATCGCCTGGTGTCAGAGTACAAGGAGCCGCATTGAGTGGTATGACGGGTGTAGACCAGCGCTTCGAAGACGTCGGCGATGTTCGGAGGGGTAGACATTGGAGGCGTTTCTGTTTCGTGGGGGGGGAAAAGTCAGCCGCGATGTTCCAGATGGACACAGAAAGGAGGGTCTAGCGAAAAAAAAAAAAAAAGGGATGCTTATAGCGTACGTTTCTGTGTTCACCAAAGCTAAGTGTGCCATTTTGCATATCCTCCTCATCATCACGTCCCCTCTTCCGAATGAGGTCCGTTGGGTGATGCTGAATGCCGAACATGGTGAAGGTCGTGGTGGGGAGCAGGAGGGGTGCGATATGGGTGTATGTAAACGGGATTGGATGCGACGTTGGTGGACGGCTAGTGGATAAAATGCCGAGGCGCAACTAGCAATAACAAGCGTCGAGACTCTGATTTTGGTATGTAAATTTGATTATGTCGTCGGTATGTTGAAGAAGAGAAGATGAACAGGACAGGACAGGCCAGAATGACGATGGATGGCACCGAGTGTGCCGTGGCTGCCTTTCCTCTGCTCGTGCACAGGCTGGCGGTGGTGCTTGCGCTCGTGCTGGGTGCTGGGTGCTTGGTGCTGGTGCCAAGTTGCCCCGGACTGAAGGTGCCGGGATGGGCGGGGAGGTTGGTTGGTTCAAGGTCGGTGGCAGGCGCGGGCGTAGGCGCAGCTGCGGGTGCAAAAGTGACAGGCAGGGCAGTATCCGTAAAGGGAGGGGCCTCGTATTTGGCCTGGCGGGTTATTGAATTCTATCTGGTCGCTACTGCGTGCTGCGTTGAATATTGCGCGCAAAAGGAGGCTGAGTCGAGGTAAAGCAAGACGATGCTGCGATAGTGTATCCGTAGAATGATAGCGGGAAGAGGGGGAGAAGAAGCAGAAGGAGAAGAAGAAGTTGGGGACTCGGTGGAGGTTGACGTTGCGCAGCGCGTGGTGGGTGGTGGTGGCAGGTGCGTGGTGTAAGTCGCACCCGATGAGGCAAGGCTTCGATCTGCACAGCACCTGCGGTCTGCGGTCTGCGGAAGCTGTGGTCGGTAGGCTGCCTACAGTAGTTCACCTGGGGAAGGACAGGATGAGGTGAGAAGATCCGGTGGGTTGGTTGTGATTGGAGATGCTGCAGTTGTTGTCTGACACCAGCTTTCCTTTTGTTCTTCTTTTCTTGTTCGATGTGTCTGTACTGAATAGAATACGGTGGCCGAAGATGGCGTTGTATTTTCGATGACAGTCCAAGGTAAGGTAGATTTGTACCTTGGAGAGACCAGAAAAAAGCCAAACCGAGTTGTCGGGAAGGGGGGCAGTCGCAGGTAAAATAATCCGCCAAGGAAGCAGAGACAGTGGTATACTGTCCGTACCTTCCACACCAGGAAGCAGCTTGAACACCTTGAGGTAGTAGCAAGCCACCAAGGAAATCTCGAGGTTAAAAAAAAATAAAAAATAAAAAAAAGCTGGAGAAATTGACCAACGGGCGACACGAGGCAGCAGGAACGCCAGAGACCGGTGACGGCAGCCTGCCAAAAAGCGGAATAGCGCAAAGACGCCACAAAAGGGGGAAAAGCAAGAGGCACCAGAGGCTCCTTCCTTCACAAATCGCCTCACCTTGCGGCTACAGCGAGCTCTTTCTTTCCTTTACAGTGGGACTTTCTCAATTCTCTCTCTTTCCCGTCTTCTTTTTCTCGACTTTGGCAACCTGAGTACCCGTGCGGTAAGGTAAGTCCCTACCTGGCACCTCAGGGCTCAAGGAAGGCACCTCAGAGCAGAGGAAAGCCCTGCGGAAAAGAAAAGAGAACAAAAGGGCCAAAGCAAGCAGGAGCCGAAAGGGCCCAGACCGTCAAGGTTCTTCCCGGCCCAACGGTTAAGGGGACGTACCACCTCCACCTCCACTTTGCACCCCTAAAGTTTTTTCGGAAAGCGCAATGGATGGAACTTGGAAGGCGGGAGGTCGGAGACTCGGAGGTGGAGACAGGGAGGATGGGGAGGGGCGCTAAGACGGCGCTAGTTCCACTCTGTTGGAATTCAACCCGCCGTGAACTTGGGAAAAGAAAGATAAGAAAGGGTTAAGAAAGACAACAAATGATCTTGTTCAACGGAGGGCGGTTGAATTCTTGAGGAATGCGATGGCGTCAGTTTGCGGATCCAGAGATCGTAGGGATCGTAGGAAGGGAGGGCTGATCGTCGTGGGTAGGTATTACGCGCTGGGATACGAATATTGAAGCTCAATGCGGATGGGGTTCGAGTGTTGGACTGTTCTCCCTGGAAATGAGGAAAAGACCGTGACAAGGCAATGACTTGGTCCCAAATTGTCCAAGCAAATTGAAGAGGATTGACCACGACCGCAAGACAAGGACAAGACTAATAACGGGGTCGGAGAATAAGAAGAGACATGCAAAAGTCCACTTGCAAGATGCGAAAGTGTGATATAGGGCAAGGTGCCTTTAGAAACGGAAAAAAAAGAAGAACAAAAAAAGCAGTGGCCAAGGTGCTTCTATTCCGACCAGCCCGATATCTACCAACCCAAGTAACCGGGGGCATGTTCAACTTCATGTGTAACCAACTCACGAGACTCGAGTTTCTTCCTTCTTTGCTGTTAGATTGCCACCAAACTGTAGTATTCCATGTGTCGCGTGCCCCTCTACCACAAACCAACATGACAACTTGCTCATCTCACCTCACAGACCCAACATCATAAAGTTGCTCTCGCTCCTCGCGTCAAAACGGGCGGCCAAAGACCATCTCCAGATCCCTGATGAAAATCAATCTGTCTGGGCCGTGACTGACTGATTGACTGCTGACTGAATCAAGGGCCAATCCGTTCCATCACCTCGTAGAACCTCATCAAGTAGAGGCCAGGAGCAAAACGGCCGCTGGAGAAGACGGAGGATCTGTGCCCAAAACATAGTTGCCAGGGTCACGTACGTTCGTTCGAGGCGACGTGCCTTTCTTGCCGCTGCATGGCGATTCGCTAGTTCGTCCCGCCTGCTTGCCTTCTGGCACCCTGTGGCATGTTCACATGTCTGTCTAGAGGAGGGTGCCATGCCTGGCTTTTTTTCCCCCCCCTTTGTTGTTGTTGATCGTTGAAAGAGGTAAACTGAACAGGGCACTCTAGGGAACGTGGTGGTGGTGGTGGTGAGGGCTGCGTTTCAGGATTGCTTCATGAGAGGCCGGGGTGGGTGGGATGAAAGCGGTTGAGTGGGCGGTAGGTTACACACCAAGGTTTTCTACCACGATGGCGGGGAGGGGGGGGGGGGGGGGGGGGGTCACGGGGATATTGGAGTATCGTTGACTGATTACTACTCGTTTACGAATGTCCTTTTGGGACTGGTGATCGCGGATGGGAGGCGAGTCCCCAGAGAAGATTACGTTGCGAAGAGGGCGAGCCTGAGCCTAAGCGGTGATCTTTCGTCGTCGTTGAAGTCATCGTCTGCAGACAGTTTTCCCAAACACTAGACCTTCAGTCTGCTCGATGGCGATGATCACCAGCTAAGGAATGTCTATCGGTTTCAACCATGGCCAGAAGACAAGTTTGGTTCCGCGGTATCAGGACACACAGTCAGGTCATCAATCGGGTTTCCTGTGCGAAAGGCCGGACGTATCTTTGCTTCCCGGCCACCTCGCGCACCTCGAAAGATCTGTAGACGCGAATCGGACCCAAATTGAGCAGTGTCTGGTGCCTTCGTGCGAGTACCAGTCAAACCTGGCCTTGGGAAAGCGCACAGCTCTCCATCTTTCGGCCTGAGCCATGCCGCAAACCTCGATTGCCAAGAGTCGGCCTCTTTGATGAGTAGCACGGAGGCAGCAGGTTCCAACTGCTGGTACTACCACCATTTTGCGTCAAAAGGCAGAATAAAGCAATGGCCAAGACAGAGCGTGTGTCGTCGTCGTCGTCGTCGTCGTCGTCGTCGTCGATGTTCATGGTTACTACATCGATCACGTGCGAGTACACCCCATAAAACACATTGTCGTTCATGTCAGACTGGTATGTCTCAGCCGCTCTGTATTGAAGCGTCAGTACTACGGCACGCAACCGCCGTCAGAGTGTCATCTACTTGATCTATACATGTATATACGATTTAGACATGTCTGCTAAAATACGGCAGATTATAACAGAGAATCCTTCCGTGTCCGGGCCCCGGACGTGCACCAACAACCGCGCAGACGGACCCAAGCCCCACGAGTCGTTCACTCTAAAAGGCAATGGTTGAGACTGGTCGGACGGGCCAGCCGAACGCACAGCCGTGCATCTGTTCTAACGAGGGCTTTGGTCTCTTATTTGCTTTGGTAGCTGAGTCACGGTTGACTAGGAGGAACGAGATCAGATGCCGGTCTATTGGCATCTACGTCCGCTGCCTAAGGATGGTTGGTGTTCTACGGCTCTTCGCATAGTGACTGGCAACCTAGTTTGAGTGACAAGTGACAAGCTTGACTATTTGATAGGTCTTGACAGATGTTCGGCAGTAGACATCAGAGTCTGAGTTGCGGCTGCCTGACATTGAACCGAACTGCCAAGAGATGGCTTCACTAGGTGGACCACTCAGCCTCGTTCTTGTTCTTCTCCACTCTTTGCCTATTATCGAAAACCAAGACCAAGACTGGTTCCTCCATTCTGATCGAAACCAATATCTATGGATACCGATCCTGGAGAGTATCTATTTCGATGAGAGCCAAGACTTGATCCACGAAACTGGCCAGAGCCAACGTCGATCTCTCCAGGTCTCGTCAGACAGCCCGGGCCATCACAGGTTTCACCTCTATTTGCGGCCATCAACTTCCCTGATCACGGAGCTGATACATCGAATTCTCGTTGCAAGTTGAATACGACAGCGGAGAAGAACGTGTCAAGTCATGGTCCAGTTCAGCCTTGTCCTTTAGTTGTCCTACCCGGGAGGTTGAAAGTGGATTCCCCGGCCTCTTTCGATACGGTGCGGGGGGCTGGAGATGCAACGGGCCAACGGCACAGGCGGATACACCTGGAGCGCTCACCTTGATCAAGTGCCGGCATCGGTACCCCACAAACCGAGGTGAGGCCTCGGTGAGTCCGGGGAGGGAATTGGCCAATGAGATATCGTCAATTTCTCACAAGATTTTTTTTTTCCTTTCTTTTCCCTTTTTTTTTTGTTGATTTTTTTTGACGAACGAAAGAAAGAGGGGCGTTTAACGCTATCGGCGTCTCATCTCTGTTCAAGGCCTCCAATGTCAGGAAGCACATGTAACACCTTTCTCATCTTGTCCGTCTGATATTATGAGACCCGGTCTGACTATCTAGGGGGTTTGAATGGTTCTCGATGTAACCATTGGAAGCAGGAGGAAGAGTTGTGGGCGGTGAAGGAGAAAGGAAAGATGGCAGGAAGAATATTTCCGCTGTAAGCTGGTGCTGGTGCTCGTAAGGTGGTGCATGCATCTGCCCGGGTGCCCCTCCAAGTTTTTTTCTCCTTTCTGCCCCGCCATCGGCGCTTCCTCAGTCTCCTTCACTGCGTCACCGTCGCGTATCGCCGTCATTCACTCTGCCCATAATTCCGTGGAAAATTCTGGTCAGTCGAGAACGAGACGAATGGATGGATTTGTGACGTCGACGGACCCAAATTTGTGCCGACGACCTTACTTTTGGAACGGCGAGAATAGCAGAAAGTAACTCGCATAGGGAAGAGTCGTCCGGTAGGGATAGATAGATACCCCGCCATATTGGACTGAAGAATCGTCCAGACAGAATGAGACTAGGCACACGTGGGATGGGAAGCGCCAACAGCGCATTTGAATGCAAATTTGACCATCATGTCGTCCGAATCAGGTATCTCCTGTCCACTGCAAAGGAGAAGAAAATACCTCTGGACTTCGCCCCGGCGGGACTGCCTCCGAGAAAAGTAGAGGGCTCCGCGTCCACCGCCGCCAGTCACAAACCACACAAACACTGACCAAACCTGACCTGACCTGGCCCTTCGTCACACAAAGGGGACAGGAACACTGCGTTTTATTTGGCTTGGTGAATTTTTTGAATTTTCTACCTTGGACCAAGAACAGAAACCCACTTTCTGAGTCACCGCCCACCACAGTCATCGACCAAACACCCCGAAAAAAAAAGGCCACTACCGGACGCTCCCCTTCCCCTGTGGACGAACATTCATCCTCCCACTCCCACAAGCTCGGTCAACGACGGCTCAAGCAGCAAAACCATTCACCACACGATACCCAGTCAGATCCAATAGGCGACCGGCTGTTCGTCCGCTCTCTTTCATTGTTAATATCAGTGTAAGCTTATTTCCCTACCCTTGATTGGGGCTTTTTCTGCTGCGCGGGAGATGACCTCTTGCTCACCGGGGAACCGTTTTGGGGTTGGCGGGCGGTTTTTTGCGTCAATCTCACGATGGGCAGCATCCACCACACACACAACCAGCAAGCGGTGATGATGGAGGGGGGCCAATCACCCTACCAGCGCTTCAAAGATGAGAGAAAACAATGTCACTGACTGAGATTGCTCGATTTTCGCAGTTTTCAAGATACCCCAAACCCATCAACACATTGCCAAAATGCCCGGTCTCGACCTTGAGCATGAGCCCCTCGCGGCTGACGATGTGAGGAGTGAGTCACTTTTTTTTTCCCCCCTTCGTCTCTGTCCCTTCAACATGAGGTGGATGAGTGAATGAGCCCACCCACCTTGGGAAATGTCACTCACCCATGGACCCCCTACCGCTCTGCCCCACACAAGCTGTTCATCTCAAGCTGCCATCTTCATTCACATCGTGACAATCATCTACTCGTCGTTGAATAATTTGGCATTCAATCTCATTCTACCGCCTGGATCATCACCATTCTCACCCAACACAATCTTGTCATACCTCACTCACCTCACCCAACTCACCTACACCACTACCATCACCGCAAACCCACATTCATCACCACAATGCTTAACCGCCGACTAATAACCCTTCAGTCCTGGGACAGGATCCCCTGATCCCCCCGGCGCTCCTCTCCTCCGAGATTCCCATGACCGACGCCGCCCTCCAAACCGTCGTCCGCGGCCGCAACGAGGCCGTCGATATCATCATGGGCAAGGACGACCGTCTCCTCGTCATCATCGGCCCATGCTCCCTCCACGACCCCTCCACAGCCCTCGAGTACTGCGCCCGCCTTAAATCCCTCGCCGCGAAGCTCTCCTCCGACCTCTGCATCATCATGCGCGCCTACCTCGAGAAGCCGCGCACCACCGTCGGCTGGAAGGGCCTCATCAACGACCCGGACATCGACTCCACCTTCAAGATCAACAAGGGCCTGCGCATCTCCCGCCAGCTCTTCAGCGACCTCACGACGGCCGGCATGCCCATCGCCAGCGAAATGCTCGACACAATCTCCCCCCAGTTCCTCGCCGACTTCATTTCTGTGGGTGCCATCGGCGCCCGCACCACAGAGTCCCAGCTCCACCGCGAGCTCGCCTCCGGCCTGTCCTTCCCCGTCGGCTTCAAGAACGGCACCGACGGCAACCTCGGCGTCGCCATTGACGCCATTGGCGCCGCGGCCGCCAAGCACCACTTCATGGGTGTCACCAAGCAGGGTCTCGCCGCCATCACCCGCACAAAGGGCAACGAGCACGGCTTCGTCATCCTCCGCGGCGGCTCCCACGGCCCCAACTTTGACAAGGAGAATGTCCAAAAGGCAAAGGACACCCTCACCAAGAAGGGCCAGAAGCAGGCCATCATGATTGACTGCTCCCACGGTATGCTTTACTCTTCACTTCATCCCCCCCCCCCCCCCCCCCCCCCTTTTTACGCGAGAAATCAGACCTCTAACACACCACACAGGCAACTCCAACAAGGATCACCGCAACCAGCCCAAGGTCGCCGCCGTCATCGGCGACCAGCTCCGCGAGGGCGAAAAGTCCATCATCGGCGTCATGATCGAGTCCAACATCAACGAGGGCAACCAAAAGGTGCCCGCCGAGGGCCCCGCCGCTCTCAAGAAGGGCGTCTCCATCACCGACGCCTGCATCCATTGGGACTCCACCGTCGACGTCCTCGAGGGCCTCGCCTCCGCCGTCCGCGCCCGCCGCGAGCGCAATGCTGGTTCTGCCAACGGCAACGAGGACTCGCACAAGGTTACTCACCTTGAGGAGGAGTAAAGGCAGTCATCCACGTCTGGTAGAATGAATTGTCTACGACTGCAGTGTGAAGTGTTCATCTTTTGGGGAAAAGAGGAAACGCCAAAAAAGTGAAATAAGGGGGACAGGGGGCTTTGATTGGATGAATGAAACATACCAACCCATATGCATAGCATTTGCATTTTTCAAGGCTCCAGGGAGGAAATCAAAAAAGTGATTTTTTTATGCGGTTCATAGTCACGGTTTGCATGGGTTCATGATACATGCGTCCCTGGATCGCTCGAGGGCGCCTAGGACAATTAGGAGAGATAGATAGCTTTGCAAAATAGCTTCACATTTCTCCTTTAAAGCCTGCGGTCTTACATGAACTTTAAAGTGCCTGATTTCCCATATCTTGATGCGGATACATGAACCTCATCCAGAACCCAGAGCCAAATCACACCCATAAACGCCATTCTCGGAGCCCCGATCCCACTATTCAAAGCAAACATCAACCCGGCCTCGCAGGCGAAAGCTGGCTATAATCCCCCCTCCCAGAAGCAGCAGCAGCATCAGCCGCCCTCTTCCCCTCCCTAAGCTCATTCGCCCTCTTGAAAACAGCCCAGCCCAGCAATCCCGACGTGCCCAGCAGGAACCCCCACACAATGACGCGGTCCTTGTTGCTGTCGCGCTGGAAGCACATTGTCTGGACGTCCTCGTCTTTGGCGTTGCGGCAGAAGTCGATGCCGCGGCTGAGGCAAAAGGCCTTTGTGCATTGCGAGCAGGAGGAGGAAGCGGCGCGCTTTTGGAGGGGAGATTCGAGTGCGGGAGAGGAGGTATCGCGGCGGGAGGACGCTGGGGCATTGCCTGGTGGTTCTCCGTCTGCGTGTTGGGGGCCTAGGGCGACGATGGTGCTGTTTTTGAAGCAGGTGCATTTGCAGAATGTTGGTGCTGCTTAGAGGGGTGTTAGTATGGTCCATCGTGGAGGGACTTGGTGATGGGTCATTGTTTGCAAAGACTTACAGTTTGCGCTGACGAGGGCGACGAGGCCGCATAGGAGCAGCAAGAGTATTGATATGCGTTTCATCCTGGCGAGCTGTGTCCACTGCCGACCGGGTCTGGGTGTTTCTCGCGACGGCGCGGGCAGCAGGTGAAGTTGTCGCCGTCTTTGGCTCAGAGAGGTGACGGACGCACGAGCCACAGCCGGGATGGCGACGACGACCCACTTCGATGTGGCTGCACTCCCCGTCCAGCTGTGGCTGAAGCTCCATCGTCTCTGATTCGCCAGCTCAACCCCAGCATCCAAAAAAGTTCAATTGGAGACTTTGAAGCTCCCTACCAACATCGTGCTGCCATTTTGCCCGTACCAAAAGGCAAAAAGGATCCCCTTTGTCTCAATCAACATAGCACATCACACACCCAAACGCCCACCATGCGTCGTGTACCGCGTCTCAGGCAGCCGAGCCTGCTGGCATCCTCCCCGATCCAATGCACCACCTGCGCCGCGCCCGCCACACTCCCCATCTCAGCAACAGCAGCAGCAGCAGCAGCAGCATCACGAAGAACTCTCTCAACGACACCCGCAACCCCTAGCCGCGTCCGCAAATTCCTCTGGAAAGGCGGCGACGCCCCCGGCCCGGAAGACCCCTACGCCGCCGACTCCTCCCAAGCCCTCCGCCAGCAGCGCATCGCGCAGGAACTAGCCGAAGCCGAGGCCGAGCTGGCCGCCTTCGAGGCCGACAACCAGGAGACGCAGCGGGCCGAGCAGAAGCGCCGCCAGAAGCCGCAGAGCCGGCTCGCGCACCAGATCAAGAATAAGCGCGTGTGGGCGCCGACGGAGAAGGAGGTTACGGAGAACGGCTACGTGCCTGCCAAGACGATTGACGGGCTCGAGGAGATTGGCGGGATCGAGGGGTGGTGGGAGCAGGAGGGCCGTTGGGGCAAGGAGAGTGAGTATGTTGGCTTCTCGAGCGCTGGCAAGGTTGTGGAGGATGCGGATGTGTGTGCTGCGCTTGTGAGGCAGGCTGTTGTTGAGGCGCTTGCTGTTGCTGGGTCTGCTGAGGTGCAGGGCCGGTTGACGGATGCGTGGGCCAGGGGTGATGGGGAGGGCTTTAGTAGGGCGACGGCGCTGGGGTTGAAGATTGGAGAGGATGGTAGCGTCTCCCTTGAGAGTGATGCCGCTGCGATTGAGGGCGTCGTCGCGCCTCTGTTGGAGGCTCAAGAGGCGGGTGTCTCGGAGGGGGTTGTCGAGGCTGCCGAGGCGAAGGCGCTGGTTGAGGCGTGGGGTGAAGCCTGGAAGAGCATTTCTCTCGAGGACGCACGTTTCAAGTTCGCTGTAAGTGCCACTCAAACCTCCAAACAGACCATGCTTGAACACACATTCTAACACGTAATGCGACAGGTCCACAAGCGCGTCTTCCAACTGACGGGCCACCGCGTCCACGACGCCAAGCTCGCGCAGATCAACACGGTCGGCGACCTCATCGCCACCATCGTCACGCCGCCCAAGCCGACAAAGGTCGCCGAGGCCATTGCCCAGCAGGGCGAGCTGCTCGACCTGCCTAACGTCCGCGTCCGCGACACCCGCGTCACGCCCATTGATAAGGAGATCGAGGTCGGCCGGTGGAAGGTCATCAAGCAGGAGCTCAAGAAGAGAGGCCTGCCTATTACGGGACACAAGCACCTCGCCAAGCCGGTGCAGAGGGACTGGATCCAGGGCAAGGCGTAAGGGAAGACGGTGTGGAGGTGAGAAAAGGAGAGGGAAATGTGTCTGGTATAGAGGAGACTTGTACAGATATTGTACTCTTTGTAACATATGGAATATCATTGATTCTTGCTCTGATAATACTTGGGTCATGGCTTCACTTCTGATCTGGAGAATGCTGTCAGCTGTGCTGCTATCTAGCCAAGTTGAGTTGATGTCGAATTCACACTCGGACAGGACATCATTTACGTGCCCCTATTCTGTCACTCCTCGACACCACTCTCATAGAGGGTGAGCAGTAAGTGTTGGCAGTTTCTGGTGCCTATCTTCCCCTTTGGACCCGTTTGTTCACAAAAAAGATCACCACTCTGCCTTGTATCGACGCGGTTACGTGCAGAGCGAGTGCATACGACCAACAAACGGACGGTCCTCGACCGGAAGAGGTTCGTTTCGTGGCAAGGGCTTCTCTACAATGTTTACCTATCCAATTCACCTTCTCCCTCTCACAAATATAATTTCACCTTCCTCTACGCGTTTTAAACCCTCGGTCTTCCCACAACATCAACCTTTTCACTCGTTGCCCCTTGACCCTCTGAGATTCCTTCCTCTTCAACCCACTTGGTCTTCCTTCTTCTCATCACTTGCCGCCGTCCAGGCGCTCGAGCTCTCGCCAAGGACTCATCTCATAATCACTGATCATACCTTCCCTGAGGTAAATTCCCTTGGATCACATTGCGCCAAAGTACAACTCTCATTCGTCCTTTCCACCCCACACCCGACTCTCATCACTGCATGAGAAAGATCCCTCCAGGTAAACCATCCCGAATATCCTCTCCCCTTCCGCTAACGACTAAAACTTGTCTATAGAATGTATCCACCTCCAGACTTTGGAAGGTATCGCCGGGCCATTAGGGTGGAGAAGTGGGTGGACTGGGCAAAGTCCCAGAAACTGCCCGCATTCATAAACTACCCAGACAAGGCTGCAAGGATAGATATGCTCCTCCATAAAGTCTACTGGGACTTCGATATAACAGATCTCCCTGACGTCAGGAACCAAGAATGCTGGAAGCATATAACCTCTATACTCCGGAACCCCGGACCTCACCCCACTGAGATGATCTACATTCACGCGCTCAACGCAGTCGACTGCGAGCTGGCCCGGATCTTCAACAATGGCCGCATGCACGAGACTCTCGTCGAGATGGCGAGAAACGTGGGCTTTGACGCGTACAAATGCTGCGACCCGTCGCTCTCGACGGAGCAGAGGAAAATTGAGCCTCCGAGAGGACCTCGGCAGATGAACAGTGCGGACGAGCACACGATTGAAGACCGGGCTGCGATCACTTCTAGGCGGTTTGATCTGGACAAACTCAATTACGCGGCTGTTTCGGAGCTCTTACTTGAGCAGCAGGCCCTCAAGGAGAAGAGGGAGGCTGCTGCTGCTGCTCGTACTGCTCCCAACAGCGCTGTTGGTCGATACCAGGGTGGCTCGGCGGGAAACGGAGGCGGCTGGCATCAGCATGCGAGCCCCGCCTCCTCTGGATGCCCCAGAAATGAGCCAAAGGCATCGAAAAAGACTACCGCGGTGGACGGGAATGTTCGCTTTCGCTTACAATCGAACAAGCCATCTTCATTGACGAAAGAGTCGACAGTTTCTAGAAGAATGTCCTCGTCCAGGGGGTCCAGGGGTCCAATTGCGGATCTCTTTGACCAAGCGGAACCTTCGATTCTCAATGACCCACGTTCAACTCTGGTCATTGACGGGGTTATTGTTCAGCAAGGACAAGCCGGTGGCGGCGTTCAACAAGAAAGAGCCATTGCCACTGCCACTGCGAGGCCTCCGTCGAGATCAGCAACGAGCACACCGTCCAGAGGGCTGTCCAGTTTTCATAACCCCTTCACCAAGCCACCTGCTCAACCTCCTGTCAATCCTCAACCGACTACGGAGCAGCAAGCTCGACGAGAATCGAGTGGTACGCCGAGAGGCATTCCACTCCAGCATCGCACGTTGGCAAGAAGACCGAGTGGAACTCAAGGATCCGAAATGTCGACACCGTCGACCCCACCGACACAAGCCTCCTCCAGCAGTGTCCGGCAGCAGAGCAGCTCGGCAGTCAAGACACAGGTTCAAGAGCAGAAACTTGCAGCAATCCCGCCGGCAGAACACAAGACCGATAGCCAGACCGCGGTGATTTCTACCCAAGAAAGCTCGACCCAGGCTCAAAACCTCACAGCTGAGATAGCGAAGAAGCTTGAGGCAACCATCAACCAGAGTCTCTTGGAGGCGATCCGCGGAGTCTACCGCGGCGTTCCGAAGATCATGGAGGCAAAGATACGAGGATGGCTGGACAGCCCAGAGTGTCGCTCCGTGAGATTCACTGTTCTTCGAGACGTCGAGAGCGAGACCACCAAGATTGTCAAAGGGTCTGTCATGGCTAAGATGAAGGCCATGGAGCAAATCATCAAGGGCTCCGAAAACCCGCGGCAAGCGGAGTCAGTCCGGGACACCAAGCGCAACGCTGATGAGAAGGATGCGGAAGAAGGTGATCAGACTCAACAGGCCGTGAAGCGACAGCGGGGCGATGGTGGTGGTAGTGCTTGAATCACATGAACGTCACCGGCTGATTGACTGTTCGGATGTTGACAGCGGATCGATGGGATATGGAATTTTTGACACCCGTGTTTGGAGTAAGGTCGATGCTTGACCGTGGATCAGGGAGGATGCCTTGTAGGGACTGGTTTGATTCGGCGTTCGCATCGGATGGGTTTATTTTTGAGGATTATTCATGCCCGTCAACGCATCTTACGAGGAAAATGCAAAATGAAACGATTAGTATGAGTGATTGGCCTATCAGAAATCCTTTCGGAAGGGCTGAGTGAAGGTTTGACTTAGCATTTGGCAACATCCGATGTGAAATCTCATTCAAGTAGCAATCGTACCTCACATCAGCAACGCGCAAGGGGTGTTTATTCAGCCCTCAAAAGGGCAAGTAGCTCAATTGTCAGCTACCTAAGTCATGCGTGACCGAAGTCTAGGCCGGTATAGATTAGGATTTTCCATCCCATTCTTTCACGCGCAAGCAAAACGCTTCATGCCATTTCAATCATTCCCTCTTCCTCGATCCCGTCATATCAAGTTTATTTTGATTCGTTTCTGTAAAGTACTTTTGTCAGCTATACTCATCAGAGAGGATGATGCTGGTGAGACAAACATTCAAAGTGGAAGTGGCCGTCGTTGTTGGACAGGCGCTCGCACAGGTTGACGTCGGCGTCAATGGCCTGGCCCTCAACGTTGAAGAGGCGGGCGCGGAGGATGGGCTGATCGCCCTCGAACTCGAAGCGGATGTCCTCAGCGGAATCGGCGAAGCCTGTTTTTCGTTACTGTTAGTGAATCTGGCTTCATGCCATGGAAAGAAGGAGGAATTTTGGTTGAGGGCCCCATGCTCCCCAAAAAGGGAGAGTGAGGGATGTAGCGAAAGGGTGATGGGAGAGGAGGCGAGGATTTAGACTTACCCCGGCCACCCCAGTCAAAGCGACCGTTGTCGTTACCGATGCAGTCGTTGAGGTTGCACTCGGCGTCGACGAAGTCGCCGTTGCCGTTCTGGAGACGGGCGCGAAGGATGTGGCCGTCGTCGACGCGGGTGTCCTGAGCGGAGTGGTGGAAGTTGGACATTTTGGTTGATGTTGTGTTTGTGAAGGTTGTTTGAGAAGAGTTGAGTTTGTTCAAGTGAAGAAGAAGAGCTGCAGGTGAGTGGGGGATGGGAAAGCTTTATATAGATGCTTGTAGGATGAGATGACGAAGGAGGAGTGACGGGGCAGCTTGTGGCTAGAACCTTATTCACACCTGGCTGGAGGCAGCAAGCTTAGGAGGGGCAAGTGGGAGTGAAGGAGAGGCCTCCATCGTATTCACTGGGTACTTTGTTGTCTGTTGCAGACACGTGGAGGTGGGAAATGGCGGTCTTGGGATCCTGGGAGCGGGTTTCCGTTGGTGATGGGAGAGGTTCTCCTTGGCTGGAGCCCAGTTCACACCTTGCTTCTACCCCGGGGGAAGCTTCGTGCTCTCACTCACGAAGCTCTTACTGCTGGGCTTTTGCTTGGCCCTGTCCGTCTGGCCCTATAGGGAGAAGCTAGCTTGCCTAGGTTGTGTTCACGACCAATTGGGCCTGGATCGTAACTTCCCATTGATTCGGTTTGTTTCTGCGATGATAGCACACCTCTGGTTCAATGGAGGTGGTGTCACGGTGTGTTCTTGCTACGTAGCTCATGGGGCCAAGAGCCTCCTCCGCCGACAGGGGTTCGGGAGCTTCCAGGAGCTGTCGTTGGTCGACAGTGGCAAGGCGAGGCGAGGGTGAGGCTAGGCGATGGAGGGGCGGGGTGGGAGCTTAAGTGGGATGGAGGGGTAGCTTTCATCCTTTCACGTCACGGCGATGCCGGGTTGGTGGTGTCTAATGTGTATAGACAGTCGTGAACGTATGGCTATACGGCATTTCCTGTCTAGTTATTCCACGGCGTAATAGGAGCTACCTTGCCAAAGACAGCTAGCTACCCTTTTCAATACCCTCTAATGCACTCCCCACGCCATGCCTCGAGTCTATTGATGCTCTTTCCTTCCATTCGAGCATTCGAGCCCCGCCGGCACGAGGGTGCCGAGGGCTCGCGATGGGGGCCGCTTGGCGTACATGAGGGGACACGCCTTCATGCAGGGTGCGACTGGGACAAACCGAACCACGTTTGGATACGGAGGGCAAATGGACGACTGAGAGGCCATGCGAGGGCTCCTGGGCGCCGGATCGTGTGAGATGTGAGCCTGCGAGGTGTGTGTTGGATGACGCGGCCTGCTGTTTTTCCTCTTGACCTACAGGCTTGCGAGAAGGAGGACTTTCTTTCGCGTTCTTTGTGGTTTTATTCTGTAAGGGCACGATGAATGGAGGATGTTTGAAGCTTGGGGCGTGGCATCATGGCCCGTGTGTGTGTGTGTGTGTGTGTGTGTGCGTAGAAGAGTCTGGGCAGAGGAAATGGGAGGCAGCCGCGCGCTTGCTTCGGCTGCTGGAAGAGAAGGGCGGATTCTTGGCGGCTCTGCCATGATTCCGTGGGTTGCCTCTCTCGAGGTACCCGCGTACTTAAGAACCATAAGCAGGTGCCGTGTGAGAGCACTTGAGTGAAGTGAAGTGCAAGTAAACAAGGGGCAAGAATCAAGCATAAAGTCGGGTTCGACACGCCACGACTCACGCGCTGCGGCGCTACAGAGCTTCTCCCCTGTTCCCAAAGACAGCAAGGCAGCAGGCTACAGAAGCGAGTGGAGAAGGAGAAATAGAGCTCGTCATCTGAGACCTCACTAAGGTCTCCTCTTTTGGAGCTGCAGAAGCCCAGAAGGAGGGTTCTCGTGGTGATTCAGACCTGAATACATGACGCTGGGATAGTTCCGAGAGGTTGTTTTTGGAGGCCTGTCTCTCTTGTTTTGACCACTGTAAAAAAAACAGAGAGACACAGACAGCTACCTGGCTTCTTCTCGGTTCCCTTTTTCTCGCTTCTCTTGGTCTCGAGAAGAGAGGGGAGTGGAGGCATCGCGTCGCGGGTTTTGGCGATGTCGTCCATTCATGTGGCATGGAGTTCTCTGGAACCACTCTTTTTTCTGCCAATTGGATTCTTTTGGTCACCAGTAAGGTGAGGTCCGACCTATCAGGGTCTCGAACGAAAGACTAAAAGAGAGGTTTTGGCGGGGAGACCGAAGGCCGTGGCCTGCGGCAAGGACCGATGCGTTCCGTTCGTGGCATCGCCTCATGGGGCCGGGCCAGAACTCAGACCCCTCCCTCTTTCTCTGGTTCCTGTCTCTAGTCCAGGCGTGCAGGTTTCTAGTCCAGGTTCTCTTGGAGGGCTGGAACGAGCTGCTACGCCACTGGCGTGATGTTCCCCGGAATACGCTGGCGGTCTTGCGTAACGATGTTGTCGCAGATGTGGTAAAGTCGTGTTTCTATGGCACCCACCCATTGACTGGTTGTCGTTGGTGATGTGAGGTGTGTTTTGAATTGAGTTGGCGATCTTCTCTGTGGTTGCACAGGTACCACAGCCACCAAAGGCACATATACAGGTACACTGCTAAACTGCTCCCAGGGGTCTTTCGGAGGGGTCCCAGTCGAGGGGAGCCAAGGCGGGGCGGGGCGGGGTTCGGATTCATCATAGGAGCGGTCAGAGGATGGAGGGGTACGAAGCATGGTTGAGAGGAGTGGAAATCCGTCGATAGAGAGCTGATGAATCGAGAGATTTGGCGACACGCACCTTGACAGCCTTGGCCGGGACCTTGATGAGACGATCTAGGTTGACGCTATTGGCACCTTGAGGGGTCGGGCGAGGTGTATAAAGAGATGGGGACCGCATGCTGTTGGCGACCGGCCTGCTGTGTTGTAGAATATGGCCACTCTGAGGACAGCATAGCCCATCAACGATCCTGCAAGGCGACAAGCAATTGCGAGATAAATCAGAGCAACATACAACACATCCAGCATCATCACAGTAGTGGAACAAAATTTCCGGCGTCTCAAAAGGTGTATTGCTCAAATGAGTGACTAAACATGCCAATAGGTCCATCTATCAGAATAGACACTATCCGCCGATGCAAACTACGATCAACCAAGTCGTAACCCATATCCCGAAGTCAAAAACTCATATCGTCGTCGTATCGAGAGAAAGCGAAACCGCAGTAAAGCAGCCACGCATCATAGGTCGTCGTCAAAGGAAGAGACGTTTATTTGCAGGAGGAGCAAGAGCAGCCAGAGCCGCAGTTACCTGAGACAGGTTAGCGTCTTGGTCACCAATGACAGACCGCCGACAGCACCGTTACGCTGTTGCAAGTGCAGGGGCAGGTAGGTACATACAGGTAGAAGCGCCAGAGCAGCCGCAGTCACCCTTCATTTTGATGGTTGTTGGTTGGTTTGGGGGGTTGAAAAAAAGAGTTGTTGTAGTTGACGTGATGGACTTGGATGTTGACGTTGTGGAGATCAGATCAGAAGCAGGCGAAGAAAGGTAAGTAGCCGCGCACTTATATATCCAGAGCCTCCTCCTAGCAGCTCGGATAGTCACCCAGAGGAGGGGACACTGTGAGTAGCAGGAGGAGGGGTCAGATGTCAGATGAGGGTGGCCAGATGGGACCGGATCGGGAGCCCGTCATTGGGCGGGTGCGCCGTTTGTGCGGAAACGTAGTCCAAGTCAAGCCAGCGTCGTGGCTCGGGACTGGCGACCTGTTGGCGAGGGGTGCCTCGGTGGGGTTTGCGGTCTTTGTGCGTTGACGGTAGCCAGTCGTCCCCCTTTTCTTTCGGGGCTGGAACTTGGCCCAGCATGGATGTCCATGGAATGGCCTATGGGGGTTAGGTATTGGTTTGGGGGAGGTCTTTTTGCCCTTTTTGCGCCGCGCGAATCGCCTCGGCCGCCCCAAACCAATCCTGGCTGACGGGCACGATGGGGTCAAAGAGACCACTGCGATGTTTCCCAATTGTCAACCTTCCATTTTCTTATCGCATCGTTGCCGGATAAGGTTCAGGTGGGTTGCGTCTTTTGTGCGGGAGGCGCTAGGATTCGGCCATTTGTTCCTCAATGCATCGTTTACAGCTGACCCTGGCATGAGATGAGATTCGTATCTCTGAAATGTTGCCGAAGCAGGCAGGCATCCCGTGGCATCTAGTCGCATCTTCCAGAAGCTGCTCTAAGAGGCCGTGATTCTGTGAGACAGACAAGCAGCGCAAGAGCCGGCGTGCTGTACTCCGTAGAGACTGCCAGAGATAACGGTATGACGACGATAGCAAACGGTCCTCATTCAGGCAGGACCCTGAATCTTTGGCCTGGCGGCTGACGTCGGACGCACTCGTGGCGAGGAGGGGTATCCCATCCTCTGCCTGCCCGTAAACTGGTGCAAGCTGCCCCAAGCGCAGCGCCAACGGTGATGGAGGGGTACTATCCGTACACTGTGATGGAAGGGCGAGGTGAGGTGAGGGGCACGCGGTGGTCAGAAGAGTTGGCCGCTTTTCTCAGGCACAATGGTACAAGAGCGGCCAATTCTTCTGACCACCGCGTGAGGGGGTATCCGTGGCTGTGACGTCTGTCTTGTCACTCTGCGCTTACGGTGTGTGAGTGTGTGTGGCTGTCTCGAGTTGCGGTCTTTGTGCGTGAATCTTCACCACTCGCTCTGCGATGTACCGATGTAGCTGAGACTCGGATTGGCATGCTGGTCACGGCAAGGCCTTCGAGGCATTTGTGCCGTTATCTATTTCGAGTCCGAGATGTGCGCATGATCGGGTAATTCTGTGAGCGATCATTGCCTGCCTGGACGGCATGACGGAGCCACCTATCGGACGACCTCTCGTCTTTGGTTCTTCTTCATCGCTCGGTCGTTCTTCACCACCGCTTCTTCAGCAAGTTAGCGACCAGCGGAGAGGAGACAAACCCCACCACTCAGACGGCGAACCCCACGGCTCTAACACCCAGGGTGCATTGACCCTCCTGCGTGTGTACACAGAATGGGTGCTGCTGTTCCCGTCCCAACCACTTTTTTCCTGTTGACTAGTGCGGTCAACCGCGTCGGAGTGTTTCCTTAGTCAAGATGCTAGCGATTTCGAGGCTTGAACGGCGCCGTTCTCCTTGGTCTCGAATTTACCATGCCATGCGTCCGATGGCGGATGATGTCGGTAGGAGGCGAACTTTCCAGACCGCTCTGGTCAGGCTCGAAAGGGCTGATGGCATGGAACTTTTCCAAGTTCTAGAGCATAGTGTATTCGTAGTGTACACGCTTCCGTCCGCATCTGCACCGTGCCGTAACCCGCTGTCAATGGAAGGGAATTCGCACCCTCGAACCGAGGATTCTCGGTGGGATAGATGACTGCCTCTTGCTGAGTCAACCTGGAAACTGCGCATTGAAAATACTTGCTCAACAATCCTTCAAGACCTGGTTGCTCGTCCATAACGAGGAACAGTTCTGTCATTCGCGAACAAATCAAGTCGGCGCCGTGTGAGAAACTGTACCAGAGACACAGCAGAAAGACGTTGGTGACCATTTCAGGCAACGATCGGCTGATGTCGGAACGGATGACATCGACGCACGTGCATCGGAAGCTCGGAACTCTTCGGAGTATCAAGTCACGTGGCTGCTTCATCGGAGTTAAGGCGGGGGTCTACCCCACTTCTAACCATCAAGATTCGATGCCATTAAGATGTTGTAGAGCCTCCCAGAGACTCAGAAATGCCCTCTTACTTTGTTATGCTTAGCAAATTCTGTCATCGCGTGAATATTTTGGGGAGGTCAGACACCAAGTAGAACAGCCGCAATGACCCACGAGAAGCAACTCTTCTCAGGGAGTGACAGTACTCACAAGATGACAGAGGTGCATGTGAGAGCTCATCTGAATTCGAGTGTGACTTTTGGGCTATCTAGATGCTTCTGAAACAAGTTTGGTCCCCCGACCTCGCGGCCCTCGCCTTGGTGATTGCGAATTTTATTGTCGTGGACTTTGCTTGCTGAATGCCAAATAAGACTAGACCCATGTTTAGTGTGCTAACCTGAAGACTCCCAACTCGTCATCCAGAATCAACAACTGTACGCGCTTGCCGGCCGACTACCGATAACAGAGCGGGCATATCGATCTATGCATTGCAGCTGTTCTTCCAGAAAATGGGAACCATCGGAGGACCGACAACGACCATCAGTCGGGAATTCGTCCCAGCTCCAAGCCCCTTGACCTTTCTGACAACCTCATACCAGTTGATGTTGCCTCCAGCGCGGACAGTGACAACCACGGTTTTGAAGCGAAGGTGGTCCTCAATATGTGCTTGGCAGAGAGACAGAATAAGAGATCTCACACCTTCAAGGTAAGGTACGCCCATCACATTCTCGTATGTTTCCGTAGTATCCAACATGAGAGTCTCCGCTTGACAAGGCAGCAAGTATTTGACCAACGTAGCACGTTCATCCAGTACCTCAAGGAGCGAAGGGCATAGGGCAAGGCTGATACGGAAAATTCTCAGGCTAGACAAGTTCCGAACGCTGTTTACCAAACAGCCAATCTCTCGGGTAGGGTCTTCTCCAAAGAACTTGATTTAACCCCGCTCACAAGCCTTCAGGGACAGATGTTCGATGCGAGGACAGCATTCCGTGATCGTGGCGCCTAACTCGGGCTTTATTGACAAGCCAAGGCCGTTCGAATTCGGATCGACGTCAACGAAGAGATACGTGAGCTTCGTGAATCGCTGTAGGGCTTTGCTGAGAGTTGCAGCATTGAATCCCGTGCGCCGAAGATCGAGTTGCTCCAATGGAAAAGTTGTCTCATCATTGAGCAGACGGAAAAGACTCGGGCAGCCAAGATCGTACGAGGAAGTAAACGTCGCAAGAGTTGGGTGGGGTCGGCCGAGGAAGTAGTGGGTATATGAGGTGGTGTGAAGCAAGGAAGAGGGTATGATATGCCTCCTTCCAGCTGCGATGGCCCTTTACCCCTCGCTCCACGCCTGCCTTTCTCACAACTCGCATCGTGTCGATGAATTGCGGAATGAATAACACATCGTAACCGCTCAGCAGAAAGAAGAGTCCACTTGGGCGGTAAGAACATTGTTCTTCGCTCTGACCTTCTCGCTTGCAGACTGGGAAGAAGGGCCAGTCGTTTCTCAGAGCTGGAATCCGTAACCCGAAGCGACGTACCTAGATCAGTCCCGCAGAGAGTATGGTAAACAGAAAAGGTCTGTCTTCTTTCCACCCGAGGAGTCTTCCACAAAACACCCTCTGAGATAAGGCATACTGCCCACGACAGTAATCTTTGCCGACATCGCAGGTGTCTCCGTAGTGCCCCGGAGGATTTCACCATCTCTACCATGGAGTTCCAAGTCCGCTCCGGGCCAGCGCCGGACTCACGCCGGAAATGGAAGTAGTGGGCCACCAACGGGCGCCCTCACTGGACGGAGTTGTAACTCCATTGTGGATAATCGGCGGCAATGGTCCGGAGTGGGCTTCCTGTGGTCCCGAAATCGTGAAGGTTCTGTTGGTCCGCTGGACAAAACTTGGTTGTGTATAATGACTGGACTCTGTGAACTTTGGATGCATTTCATATAAGATAGGACTCGGCTGCTACCGAGAACTCACACTCTGGATGAATCCATCATCGTCTTCTCAGCATCTCTCTCCTCTCCTATCCATCACTGGTATCAATACCGCCATCGTCTTGGTCTTGGGCAACTGCATTCAACCATGGCGCCTTCAAGTATCCAAGATCTGTTTGATGTCGACAATCTCACCTCCAAAAGCATCACCAAACCTGCTCCAACACATCAGCCAACTGCGCCAGACTGCGAACTCTTCCGCCACCTAGTACCACTAGTCTTAAGTGGCAAGACAGTACATCTCAACGCAGCCTTCATGCCCCCTTCAAATCTCATCGTGAACGAAGCCCTCTCCCGCTTCTGCTCCTAGGCTTTAAATCATCCCTCTCCAAAGGCCCACTGGAAAGAAGACATCGAAGCAGTGAGGGTGCTCCTGGGCAGATACATCAACACGGAACTTGAGGCCTCGGATGAAGCTTCCCAGGCCTTTGGTGGTGTCTCGCACGAAGGCGATGGTTGACGGTTCCAACCAGGCGATAACGTCGTGACTCTCAACTGCGAACATCCGAATCAGGCGTTCCCTTGGCTGACGCTCCGCTCGACTGGGCTGGAAGTCAGACTCGTCCCTACAGACACGGAGAACCCAGTCGCTGCGGATGCGGCCACTTTTGTGCCGTTTGTTGATGAGAGGACCAGGGCAATTAGACTGAGCTCCATTATATCCCACACGGGATAGCGCAACAATGTAGCGGGTGTCTGCGCGGCGTTTAGGCATAAGGGAATTCACGTTCTCGCGGACCTCACGCAACAAGTCGGTTTTACTGCCGTCGATGTGAAAGCGTTGGGTGTCTCGGCGGCGGCGTTCAGCCTCCACAAGGGCCTCAACTCGCCGACCGGCTTCGCAGCGCTGTACGTTGACACGAATGTCATCAAGAAGATCGATCCGATTCCATCTATTATAGGGTATGGCGGCGTCAGCAGTGTCGGCGATTCGGAGGACTTTACGGTTCCGGAAGGCCCTGTCATATTTCACCCTACCGCGAAACAATACGAGCACGCCAACATGAGCCTCATCTCAGCCGTGGCCGCTGGGACATTTCTTCAGTTTGATCTCGACGTGATGGAGCCCAAAACTCTCGAGGATCGCTTGTATAGTCTTGGAGATACGCTGCGACAATCTTGTGCTGACTTGGGTGTTAGTGTTGTTGGGCCGAGCGAGAGGAGACACCACGCACCGCATCTCCATGTTCTTCATTTGCAGGACAGGAGGTGGATAGATCGTTTGGAAGCGGCGGGTATTTAAGCGACAAAGTTTCGGTCCGGCATCAGAGTCTCTTTTGGCTTCTATAGCAATCTGGAAGATATAGGTTGATGGCGGTGATTAGAATGGGACTTGAAAGCGGCATCCCTGTGTATTAGCAATGCGCGGTCAAAGGGGTTGATGCAAGAGACAAACCGACAGTCTTGACTCCCGATCGACGCTGGTTTTTAGTGAAGGAAATTCGTATACAGCCTTCGATAGTAATCTTTGATGCCTTCGTTCCTGTTGAATGTCGCCATCCTCAGTGTGTTGACCAAGGACCGGAGAGGCAATAGCGGCACCAGGATGGACCAGTCCAGGAGGAAATGTTCCAGCGCAAGTCCCATAAAAAAACAGTGAGGAGCATCCTACATTAGTAACCTCCCATCGTCACCTCAAACTCCTATCTTCATCAACCTCATCCTTCATGAGCAAACGTCGACTTTAACGAATCCATGTCTCCAGAAGACCGCACAACGGTTCTAAAACCCACCAAAAGGATATCGTAAGCCGTAGTTTATCTACAACTAGTACAAGCCTCTAAGAAACGCATAGATGCAAGAGATGCCAATACCGAAAAGTCAGTGACGCCAACTCCACAAACTTCACAATTCTTCGCTGAGACATCTCGCCAGTTCAAATGCTCCCGCACCGAACCATGCCAAACCTGTAGATTACGTGTACGCCTTGCGAATACCGGTCGAAAAATCGCAAGCGCGTTCCAGTATCCTACGAGTACGTCGCGAGCTTAGAGTCGCGAATCTCATGGCTTGAGACCTTCGTCCCGTCCCTCCGTGCCGCAACGCCAGTATAGCGGGAAGAAATGCTCAACTCCACGGCGGCGGCAATGGAGGGGAAAGATCATTCTACTCCTAGTAGTTTTAAGCATGCCCAAGAAGAGACCCAAGAAGAGACACGGATGGATGAAGCAGATCGAGTCTCGTCATCGGCATCTATATCAGGCGACTACATATCCCACCTCGGCATCCACGCCCGCTCAAGCGCAAACCTCGAGCTAGGGCTCGAAGGCTCCCTCATCTACCACGGCGTAACCTCCATATTCCGCGCCGACCTCCCTTATTCCTCCTTCAAAGACCCCCCGGACTCTTCCGCTGCCACTACTACCGCTCTCCTCCGAGGCGGCGGCATCGAATCAAACTTCGAATCCGTAATGCGACATTCTGGCATCGACGGCCCATCTTCCCCCACCGTACTACAATCCCTAATCCAGTTCTTCCGCTGGAAATATCTGCATTTCATGTTCATATACCGAGAGGCCTTCCTCCGTGACCATTTCAGCAAGGACGGTGGTGATGATGATGAACTTAGCAGGAAACCCAGAAAGTACTGGTCCCCCGCGCTCCTACTCTCGATATGCGCTCTCGGGGCGCTGGTAAACCTCCAAAGAAAGGCTACGAGCGAGCGCTTCTTTCTTACGGCCAAGAGCATCATCATGGTGACAGGCCTCACGAAACCAAGCGTCGCTACAGTGAAAGCGTTTCTGTGTCTTGCGCTCTACGAGATTGGGGGGGGGGTGAAACTTTTCCAAAGGATGGGGGCACTCTGGTGAGCACAGATATCCAGCAACCATCTCCCGTAATCTTTCCATCGTGATATGAGGCTGACCGGACGTCCCTCCTAGGAATCGCCTTTCACATGGCTCAAGACCTTGCCCTCCAACGGGATCTCAAAGGTTGGGTCCGCCACGACTCCTCCATTGCAACGCCCGAAGACGTCGAAATTCGGAGGAGGATCTACTGGGATTGTTACATATCCGACAAGCTCTTCAGTCTGATCATCGGCCAGCCCGTGCACCTAGTCTACGACGACGCCGAAGTCCAGCCCATGGAGACGCTGCCGTTAGTAACTATCTCTCCTTCGCCATCGTCTCTGCGTTCTGCCCTCGTCGAAAACATCTACCCCGTTAATATCAGCCTCAGAGAACCCCCCCAAATGAACCTCTGGCGCCCCATAGGCTTCGACGAAGAATATAGAGAATCAGCAAAAGCAAGCTTCATGATCCCCTACCTCCACGAACAGATCCGCCTTTCGCGAATCATTGAGAGAATAATGTCGACGTTATTATCCCCGCGCTCCAATCTAGACGACCTCAGACGGGGAGTCTGCTTCTATAATCTAAACTGGACCTCAACCGGTGGCGCAAATCGTTGCCCGACTTTGCAAAGTGGCACAAATGGGGCGGATCGTCGTCAAAGACCATCCTGGGAGTGTTGGCATTGCAGTACGTCGATCTTCCGCGATGTGTGACCATGTACGCTTCTAAGATGATTGCATCAGCCTTCTAATCCACAGTGTTCGCATCGCCTTGAACTATGACCAGGCCATTGCATCCCGGGGATGCGACGCGGACGAGAAGCCACAGTCGTATTGCGTCACATCTGCGCAACACATCACTTCCCTGGTGCACACCTACCGAAGTCACTACGGGCTTCAACACGCAACGCTCGTGTTTGTATACGGTGCTGTTCAGGGGAGTCACTCGGCCAAGACATTTAGCATCACAGAAGAAAGCCAGTATCTGATCCAGATGCTGGGAGAACTATCATCGGCTTGGAGCCTGTCAAGAGAAGTCATGGCCAAAGTATTGGACTGCTAAATACCCGCGAGAGTACACAAATCGGGCCCTTTTCCCCATCCTGGCCTCCAGATCTGTTTATCCAGCTTTCATAGCAATCACCACCACAGCCATCCGTGTTATTCTTCCGAAAACCCACCCATAGGTCAGTTTCCTTTGCCCAGAGTGTCGTCACAATACCCCTTGCCAAAGCCTAGCTGTTATATCTTCATCGGTGTTGTCTCGATACAATTCAGACGTTCATCTGCTCGAAAGACTTGGCCCACAAGGTCTTGGCGTCGGACGCGGTGAAGACCCGAAGCTTAGCATCAGTCTCGGACATGGTGTCATTGGCGGCTCTGGTCCACTGCTTGGGTTTGCTGAACTTGCAGCCAACGGCGATGGTGTCGAGACGAGGAAGAGGAATTTCCTCCGCGCGTGTCTCGCAGAGATCCTCGATGATTCTCTTCACCTGCTCCTTGTACGCAAGAACCTTGGGGGCATTGGACTTGTTGCTGCCGCCCTGGAATCTCACTGATGAAGCATCCAGAAAGAGCTTCTCCAGTCTATCGGGGAGGTTCTGAGCAAGGTCGAGATCGCCGAGATCCTTGACTGCACCAACGAAAGAATCGAGCTCGATGCGGAGCTCTCTCAGGTCGATCATCTCGGGGAGGCAGGTCATGTTGCGATTGCCGAAGAGTTCAGTCCCGAAGAATTCAGTCTTGTGTCCGAAATAGCGGATCGACAGGACTTGAAGCTTGGGACAGTACTTCGGCAAGACCTTGTTGATGTCCTCTTCATCCGCATAGTTGCCGCTGTCTGCGGTCGTCTCAACTTCAAGATGAAGCACCTCCGGGCAACGGCGAAGAAGGACGCAGAGGCTCGAGGCGGTCCAGTTGCTGCCACGCAGCAAGATCTTCTTGAACGGAAATTCCACGTCTGAATTCCACTGCTCGAGAACGCTGGCCAACTCGCCCTCGGGTCCCTTGAAAGCGAAGTCGATGAGTTGGGGCGAAGAGGCCGCAAGGGCTAAAGTGGGTTGAAACACCTTGCCGAAGAAGGTCTGGGAGGATCTCTGCAGCCAAGTCTTGCTGCAGATATCCAAGCTCGTCAGGGCAGGAAACAAGAGCGAGAAGTCAAGCTCGTTGGATGAATTGGAAGCTAGAAGACTGAGACCAGCAGCCAGGAAGCGGTCAACGATGTTGAGGTTGTTGACGGGGAAGATCGACAGGTGCTGAGCATGGTCCAGCAGGAACATGAATAGTCCAAGGACATACTGAAGATTCTCGGAGGCCTTCTTGCCGCAGGTAGCCTTGCAGAGAACAAGGAGCTGGCGGTCGCGCTGTGAAAGCTGGGAATCGTTGATCGCCGCGGACGCCCAGTTGCTGAAAGTGGGGGCCGCATCGTTGTACTTCGTGAATCCAACCGTGTCGATGCTGATGAGGACGGTATGAACGAGGCTTCTGGTCGTAGGTTTCTCGATTAGGGTTCTGGTGATGGAAGCCAGCTGGTTGGGAGTCTGTACGGGGACGGTGAAGTACAAGTCCCGGCGCGCAATGTCATAGAGGCGCTTGCTCACAAGGCAGAGGTTGCGGAGGTTCTCGCGGCCTCCGCCCGTTTGATCATGAACCCGTGCGACGATCATACCCATGACCTCGTTGGGCATGTCGGAGAGGGTAAGAAGACGCCTGAGCTTGACCTTGATGAATTGGCGCTGGATGATGGCGGGCTCGGAAGCCATGGAGGCCAACTCGTCCTCGGGGCGCTTAGCGGCTTGGGCAACGAGTTTCTCCATCAGCGCGATGAAGGGAGATGGGTCCGCGATGTCGGCCATTCTGGTATGTGAGGCTCGTCTGCCGTCTGTTGCGATGGAGGATTTGGTGAGAAAGAAAGAGGAAGTGGTTGACGGGGAAGAGTGGAAGGTGTTTGAGGCGCACTAAAGATGGAAGACCTCAGTGACAACAGAGCGAAGAGGGAAGCCTGTGGTGAAGTGTAGAAGAAAATCAGAAGGGGCGAGGTGCCTTGGGGGTCCTTCTCTGCTTTGGTTCGGTTCCGGACCGAGTCTGCCTCCTTCTTCATGGCGATACCTCGAAAGGGGAGGAAACAAATTCCTTTTTCGGCGACTCAGAGGTTGTCGACCACGTGATGGGCGGTCAAACCAAACGGAAAGAGCCTTCGAGAGGCTACGTATCGAGAACGGGGACTTCAGGTACTCTCTTCTCGTGCTGAGGTCGAGGGGTTGTGGTGAGTTGTGATAAGTAAGCGTTGACGGGACGGAGCACTTGAACGGGGGGCGGGAACACTGTCTTGAAGTATGGAAGAGACATGGCGAAAGAAGGGGAATGGATCTTGGAATAAAAAAGTCATTGCTTTGTTGGAATGGAGCAGACTTCATTGGGTCTGGTAGACATGCTCGCAGCCTGAGTTGTTGCAAAGTCTTTGATATCAAAGACTTCATGGGCTATTGAAAGTTCACCGAAGAAGAGACTCGGAAAGGCCTCAAACGATCTGAAAGTAAGTCAATGCTAAACTGAGAGATGGAAACGTACTAACTGATGATAGTTCAGCTGAAGGATAACTTCACCTCCGGAGACTCAGGAAGACGGGCTACCTTACTTAACCTCAACGCAACATCTCAACCAGACAAACATCGAAATACATCAACCATGACTTCACCCGCAAACGCAAAGTCCCTCTCGACCTTCTCGTTCAGGCCCCAAGCCTCCTGACTCCCATCTAACACAGTCGCCCTCCTCATATCCCTCCTATGGCTTCCGACGACCGGTGTCCCTCGATGGAGAGTACAAGTGTTATCCCATATGACTAAATCACCCACCTGCTTCCACGGAACCGAAACCACATACTTGTCTTGCGTGGCGTGTCGGTAAAGGTACTCCAGCTTCTCCCTCCCTTCATCCCCCTCAAGGCCTTCAATGTGGTGACAGTGCGACGGTACAAACAGGTTCATTCTCTTGCTGGCTTCATGGAGCTGGGCGACCTTGTGCTTGCTCATTGGGTGCTTGGCCGGCTCTAGCTTTGCGAAAAAGTCGGGGCAGGCTTTCTTGCGGGAATACCAGAACGAATGGCCTGCCACATAATCCTTGGAAAGGAGTTCCTGCTTCCATTCCTCGGGGAGATCGTCCCACGCCGCACGCGTATCGGCAAAGTCGGTGTTGCCGCCCGCTACCAATGGAGGGATCTCGTGGGCTAGAAGAATGGAGTAGCTTGCTCTTTGGGCGTTGAAGCTGCTGTCGACATGGAAGAGCGTGTTTCCCTACTCAAGCGTTAGAGAAGATTCCGGCCAAGGTCTTGAGAAACATACCTTGCTGATCTGAGCCCGCGGGTCTTCAGAGCTGATGACGTTGCCGTTAGCGTCGACGTTACCCTGATCCGTCAACTCGGGCAGACTCATCCGCGACGGCGCACCGGTATCTTTGCGGCGCTCGAGTTCGCCGAAGCGGCTGGCGAAGGCGACGTGGCGTCCGTCGTCTAGGCCTGTCACTGGGAATACGAGTACTCCATACTACAATCTAAGCGATTAGTGGCAGTCTCGTTGGATCTTGTATAGCTGTTGATACAGACCTTCGTGATGGCAGCTTGGATCTCTTGAAAGACCTTTTCCGTCAGTGGCTCAGAGAAGTCAACGCCATGGATTTCTGCCGCAAAGGTGGGGTGGAGGGGTTCGATAGTGAGTGGCATGTTGCTTCTGATGCTGTCTCAACCTCCCTATGTTTCTTTACCGACAAAGCGACAGACAACAGCTTCAAAGCGATTCTCGTCTTACTAACCGTGGGTGTAGGGACAAAGTTCAGGCCAGACGATCGAACCCCACGTCTTGGCAATGGGAAGCCATCACAAGTCTATCTTAAAGCATCGCTTCTAAGCTAATCGGCTTCATCTTCCTACGGAGTACTCATCAATACGTAAGATCGACTCAGTCTCTAGGTCAATCATCTTACCGCCCCACGAGCTCTTCATTTAAATTGACCTTATCTATAGGTTATCTCTGCCATCACGAGTCAGACCCTGCGACCCATATCATTGACAACGGCTATCACCAGTATAAGCTTTCCATCGACAGGGCAGTCCCTGTCAATGCGATGTCGTTCGCACTCCATGGGGTTATGGGACGACCGAGGTTCATCCCTTCGATCTGTTCCTCGGGGTCTTCCACAGCAGCCCACCCACTCCGATCTCATAACTCTGAGCTTCGCAACATCACTTTCAACGAAGCACTCGACCGTCTACATATTTCTCAGCCTCATGATACTCCGTACCGAGGAGCGATACAAGAGCATACTTCAGTCATGCCGTCTCTTCGGCCTCTGCTCAACCCGATCCTGGGCCCTGAGCCCCGCCAGCCGGACCGGATCCCCACAGACACCGTGGTGCAGCTCTCGGCGATGGACAGCTCTTGGATGATGCGCATGATGATTATGAGCTGGAGCATGTGCTTCCACGACGTTCTCGATCCAGCCATGCTTCATGCCTCGCTCTCGGAGCTTCTTACCATTGGTAACTGGAAGAAGCTGGGCGGCAGGTCGCGACTGACAGTAAGTTGTTGTCCTTGCTACATCCCAAAGGCCCCTACCCAGCTTCTGGCCGGTGAGGAAGAAACACGAAGTATCAATGTCTAATAAACATATCAGAAACTTGGCAAACTCGAACTTCACATCCCCCAATCCTTCACCCCCTCCCGCCCAGCAATCCACTTCACAACAGAACCAAACCCCTCAAGCCTAACAACCCACCCCCTATCCTCAACCATTCCCTCTCCCTCAAACCACCCCATCATCCTCGACACCCCCTCAACTCTAACTCCCCTCCTCGCCGGCCCCGAAGCACCAAAGACCTTCAAAGACTACACGACCACAGATCGCCCCCTCCTCACCCTCCACATCATCACCTTCTCCGACGCAACCTTTGTCACAATAACCTACCCGCACAGCATCACAGACGGCATGGGACGCCGCGACCTCGTTGAGAACTGGTGCCGCGTCCTAGCAGGCAGACGAGACCTCGTCACGCCTCTGGCAGACCCGTCGTTTGACCCAATGGCCAATATCGCAAAGACAGATACGCAGCGCTACGACGAGCCGTTTCTATGGGAACATAAAAGATTGACGGGCTGGGGAAAAGTGCGGTTCACGTTGGGCTTGCTGTGGTACCTCCTTACGAACCGCATCCATCAACGAAACATCTTCATCCCGGCCACATCACTCAAACGTCTCCGCGAGCGTGCTGAAGCAGATATATCACCACCAGCTGACTCGGAGCCAACAACAACAGGACGCCTCAGCGACGGCGACATCCTGACAGCATACCTCGTCCGCTTAGCCTGCTCCCACATCCCCTCCTCTTCCCCCACGAAACCAATCTCCATCTCCACGGCCCTCGACCTCCGCGGCCGCCTCCACGAAGACGACCTCCCACCCGGCGAAGCGCACGTCTCGAACCTGGTAGCGTACAACTGGACCAACACCACAGCTTCAGGCCTCCTCCACGCCCCCTTTGGCAAAGCCGTCGCGCTGATCCGCAATTCCGTCCGGTCGCAGCTTACCGACGCGCAAGTGTATGCGTCAACGAGACTTACATACAATGCTGTCGCAGAGAGCGGGAGCACGAATCAGTTTACGGAGCCGAATGGGTTCGTTGTGAGTGTGTCGAATGTGGGCAAGGCGAGGTTTCACGAGGTGATTGATTTTAGTCCTGCTATTGTTGAGTCTAAAGAGCGGCCGGGGGGTGACGCAAGCGTGGAGGAGGAGGGTGAGAGGAAGACGCCTAGGGGGATGATTGTGTGGCAGTGTAATACTCCCAGGATGAGCCTCCTTCCGCCGTGTCTTATTTATATCCAAGGAAAAGATCATGGGGGGAATTATTTGGTGCAGATGGTGGTTTCGGAGAGGACGTGGCGGGTGATTGAGGATGAGGTTAAGAGGGTATGATACTACTCGAGAACACTCACTTCTGTCATAGGGGGAAAGATTGGCATGATGGACAAGTATGATCATGTTCTGTTCAACACGAAAGTCAAAAGTCAAAGGTAGCAGGTCGCTCGATCTCTGAGCCAAAATCAGCATATTACTTTGCTAGTATCTCTACGGAGTATCATCCAACAAAATTCCGCCAAAACGCCACGCTACATTAAGTCGATAAACAACAAAACCCTAATACAAAACACGAGGCACCCAAAACGGCGCCTTCTCAAGCTCCACCTCGATCCTGTTCTTCCCATTCAGTTCAGCCCCCTCGTCCGAACACCCGACAACTTTACGACAGTGCTCCACCTCCTGCTTGCTCACACCGGCCGCGTCGCGCGGGATCCAAATCACCGGCGTCGGCGAAGCCATCTCGGGCGGCCAGTATGCGCGACGGGCGTAATCTGCCGGGTACGTCTCGGTCGGATCGGGCAGGTCGACGGGGATCGTGCGCCGTAGGGTGGAGAAGTCGTCAAAGACGCCTGGGTGGAGCCAGCGGAGGACAAAGTTGGGATTGGGGTCTGGGTCTGGGTCGATCCAGTGCATAATGAAGCCGATTGGTCCCGCGAGACCGTATTGTTCAGCCGTGGCTTGCATTTTTTTGGCTATGGCGCCGGCGGACCAATCTTGGACGGAGGCCATGAGGCCCGATGCGCCCTCTACGCCTCTGGTGCCGTTGACTTCGTGCGTGGGTCCTTCGTTCTCCTCGCCTGGGTCGAAGAAGTCGGGGTACGCGGCTGTGATGTCGGCGTCGGTGAGGAAGTCGTCTTGCGGGTAGTCTGGGGCGACGAAGCCGCCGTCGAGCTCTTCCATCTCGAGGGCGAGCGCGCGGGGGATGTTGTAGAGTAAGGGGAAGATTGCTTCTCGGAGGGAGATGTGGACGAGAGCCGTGAAGATGAGGAAGCCGATCATGAGGACCATGGGGATGTAGGCTGCGCGCAGAGCGAAGAGGCCGACGAGGCAGATTGTGGCGAGGTAGAGGCCGACAAGGAGGTGCATCAGCGCGCGAGGGTACACGAGACCGCGGGTATCGATGGAGGCGTCGCTGACGTAGAGGAGATTGTACTTGTAGACGAGGTAGATGCAGTAGAGGCCAGCGGTGGCGAAGCCGAGGACGACGGGTGCGATACAGGAGTAGCTAATGGCTGTTGGGGGTCAGTTATGAGAAGCAAAAGGTAAGGAGAACAGCGCAACTTACCGATGACGCCCATGTTTGTGAAGACGGGAAACACTGCACCCCAGTGCACAGGTCGTTCTCTATGCCAAATCCTGAACAGGCCGCGAGGGTTATCGAAGCCCTTTGCCATGATGTGATGACGGAAGATGTCGAATGCCCGCAGTAAGGATGCAGCGCCGACAGCTAGGCACTGGATGAGGATGTAGGAGATGTAAAAGTTGGAGGACTTGGGCAAATTATCGGCCAGCAGATCCTTTGCCGAAAGGGGGTCTTTCAGAACTTGTGTGAGAGCTGCCGATGCAGCGGATGTAAGAGTCGTAATGAGGAAGACCTGAACTACTTGGAACGCGAAATATGCGTGTTGAACGAAGAGTTCGATCAAGGAGAGCGAGGGGACGCCTGCAAGCCTAGCGCAACCTTTGCAAAAGTTAGTACAATGTTAAAAGGCATCGGTAACGATTACTCACCTCGTAGCATCCACGGCACAATGGCCATGAGGAACGACAAGGCCAACGCGGGCAGCAGACCACTGATGATGCCGGTGACGGGATCAGGCAGCTTGGTGATCCACGCCAGGAAGGGGAATGTTTCCGACAAGAACTTGATGTTGGAGATGGTTCCGACGATGGCGGATGGAATAGACCAGAATACAATGGCGGCCGTGATGAACGCACGCATCAAGAAGTCTCTGGCGATCCTTTCAAACCACCGCATCCTAAGAGAGCCCCATACTACTTCATCCGGTCGAATACCGATATACCGTGGCGACATGTGCAGCGGCCGATTATGTGCCAGGGTCTGGAATGCGCGCTCGGCATCAGCCTGGGAAGAAAACTCGACAAAGGCTGTAGGTAGTCGACGGCCTTCACCCTTGAGGAATCCTCGCCGCAGCTTGTTGATCTGGTGCGTGAGGGCCTTGATGCGCAGGCGCGTCCACTTGATCGTATCGACTCGGCGGAAGAAGTTGGCCAGGGGCCGGTGGTAGGGGCGTTCGGCGGCTCCGATCCACTGTGCGGCAACGGAGCCGTTGACGTCGGGCAGAGCGGTGTTCTCTTGATGCGGATACCCTTTCTCGGGGTCGTCGGACCGTTCAGAACTTCCGCTTGACGGCGGGCTCGAGACGGTTTCGGGGAGGGCGGGGAGAGCGGCGGCAACCGCCTTGAGTTGCTTGTTCCTCCGCTTGTTGGCCATCTTGATCAGACGAATCTCTGCCTTTTCCAACCGCATTGCAGTCTCGTCTCGCTCTCTGACGAGTCGTTCCAGGTCGCTCGTGTCTCGGGGGATCCAGACGTTCTTGACGGTGTCGCCGAACAACTTTCGCATGCGTGCGGCATCTTGGTATTTTGGCGGCACACAGCCGAACATGACTGTCCGGGAGGACAGGCGCTTGGAGTAGTAGGGTGATAGAAGGTAGGCATGGCGAAGGTTGATGTAGTATATACATTCACGGTAGATGGTGAAGAGGATAAATCCTGGAGGGGTGTCAGTACACTGGAACCATCGTATGGGATAGGGGCACCTACCAAAGTAGATCCACGCGATGACAGCGTGGGCGAAGAGCATTTGAGAGTCCCGGACATTGCCTATGGTGATGCGGTCTAGTTGTGAAAGCCCACCGGTGCCGGTAGCATGAATAGTCATCAACGTCGGCCATGTTATGCAGATACCAACGAAGCATATCATGGTAAGTATCCTCAGATACCGGAGGAAGAGGAAGGCGTCTAGTGAGGAGCGATTCAGGATGTCCGTATCCGGAACCGTCCAGAACGGCTTCACCCAGTTGAGCCATCCTTTTGGTAGCGGTGCGCTTTGCTCACTGTCGTGGAATCAATATACTGTACGGATTTACTATACGGGAAACGATGCTGCGCATGACATACTGTGAGAAGAAGTCTCTAAGAATAGTGCGCGGAGAGTAGACGCGGAGACTCCTCCGGCGCAAGGTCCAGAAGATGAGCAGGCATACGACAGAGTAGATGAGCACGGGGATGAAGGTGCTGACGAGCGACATCAACGAAGACGAGTCAGAACCAGAGCTCAGTTTGCTGATGGTTCCGCCCCCTGTCGAGTTATCGCGGGCGGAACCAACTCGACCATCACCATTACTGCCATCGCCGGTGAGCGTCTATTCACACAGTCAGCTTGGGAGGCCTCAAAGTTCACGGGAGTGACGGTACGAGATGGGGACAGGTTCGTTTGTTGGGAGGGGAATGTCTTACAATGTCCATTGCAGCTGAAAATGCACAACATGTCTTTGCGCGCAAAAAGGTACCCGATCCCTTTAGTTGAAGCCGGCTGAAAGGGCGGGGATCGTGGGATTGATATTGGTAGCGAACGGAGCACGGCGTATGGGGTGTTGGAACCGGCGTGATGCCGACTTGTCAGTGTCAGACAATGGAGTTTTGCTGGGCGTGGGGACGTCGTCTCGTTAAAACCTGCACCCGGCAGGAAAAGTAGACTACGGTCTGACCCCCGCGGACTTGCAGACTTAGCGCTGCGGGCGATCAATTAGATCATTGACGGGGGCTGGCCGTTTTGCCGTTGGGCTGGTGTGTACGATCGGTTGTGCCGTATGGTGTGTGGGCGTGGGTTTTCTGTCTGCTTGCTGCTGCTTGGGATGTGGTCGCCTACTGCTGGCCCGGTAGGGATTGGCGTGGGCTCTTTTGCGATGCTGATCCCTCAATACCAAGACTTTCGTCGCTCTCGAAGCGAACTTAGCAAAGCGATTGATTGCGGAGACCGACAGTATTTGCGACGCCCCTCGGGGGGGCCTGCCTGGTTGGAATGGCGGCTGAGAAATGATATTGATGGATGTCGCTGATGATTGACGACGAGTTCGGACGAGAGCGCCTGAAAAGACAAGACGGGAGACGCGATGACAGTTCAGGGCTCAGGCAGCGGGAAGCCAAAGAAGAAAACGTGTGCCTGAAAGGGGGGACTGGTGTCTCTGTGGCTCTTCAGTCATTCCTTACTGCCATTTGGTGGTGACTGAGGTGGTCCTCGGCGGTCCCCTGGGCGGCCCCACTCCCACGGTCAAAGGGCGGTATGGGCCCAGACCCACCTATGGCAGCCACGGTCGCCACCAATTATTGGCTGCCTCCGAGAATAGCGCCCCTCCGTTCTGTGATTGGACCTTGAGAGAAACGCTGAGATTGATTGCCTTTAAAGCGGGTCTTCGAGGGAGAAACATTTCCCCATGGTCCCGGAACAGGGGTCTTATAGTGGGTCTTGCTGACGGCTGACGGAATCCATGCACCCGGTCCGAGAAAAGCTTTGATTACGAAATCCTCTTTCCCTTCCCAATGTCCCACCCTTTCCCAGCGAAGAAACTGCGGCCGAGGTTCGCCGAGAGCGAGGTAACAAAGACAAACTGGGAGAACCTTGCCTACATTCCCGGGCAAAATTCAAACAAAGAAGAGGAGATGGAAAAAAAAACCCCCAAATTTTTGGCCCCCATGCCCCTTCGGAGGTAACAATTGAGTCCACTCCAGCTGAACTCTAATCCTTGGCTCGGCACGCCCAAGTGCGGAGCTGGCTCCGATTTCCATCGACGCATGAGGACACTGATCGACGATATCTTCTTTCAACGCTCAGCTGAACACTTTTCCATTCACCCGTGCCATTCGCCTGAGTACCGCAGATGAGACCGATCTAACGACCGCTCGGATCCACCCCATCATTCTTCACTCCCTGAACGTCCTACTAGGTTGACGTACGAATACATAGAGCCGCCAACTGCCAACCCCAAGCATCAAGCCGTGCCAAGTTTGCACACCGCGAGTCAGCAAGC